ACAAAAATAGACATGGGGAACTGGACTTTCTAAATAACAAAACAAAATTTAAAGCCTACAGAAACATTATTCTTAGTGGGGAAATGATGAAAACATTCCTCTTACAATTAAGAAAAGATAACGGGGGTCTCCCTGGTGGCGCAAGGGTTAAAAACAGCACTATCAAGCTATGGCCAACCACTGTAGCACCCCCACAAGCCAGAGAGCAACCCACAAGGGGCAGCAGATTTCTCCTGCCTCGCCCTGCTGCTCCCCTCAGTGAGTATTTCAGTAGATCAGCCTGTTCTGCTCCCCACTTTGTCTCTGGTGAATTCTCTCACCCTCCACACCTCTGGCTTACACCCCAGTTCTTGAATGCATAAATAAATCTTAAAAAAAGAAAAGAAAAGGGTTCTCACTATCACCACTTCTATTCAACTATTCAGCTGTGTACTGGAGGTGCCAGGCAGTGCAGCAAAGGAAGGGCATATAGATCAGGAAGAAAGAACTAAAACTCCTATAATTCATGATGATGAATGCCTCCATAGAAACATATATACCTCTGGAAACATGAGGAATGATAATTTAGAAAGCTAGTTGGTTATATGACTAATATATAAAAATCAATGGCATTTCTATAAACCAGTTCAAACAAGAAGAAAATGCCTTTTTAAAAAGATCACATTTAAATAACAACAGTTTGCTTAAAGGACATATTCTAAAAGAATAGAGTAGAAGTCCAAACAATTACAGGAAAAATGTAGTCATTGTTCTTAGTCATTCTTGGGCCTCCCTGGTGGTGCAAGGGATTAGCTATTCCCAGCCACTGCAGCACAAGTTCAATCCCTGGCCAGGGAACTGACCCACATGGCACAGCAGACCTCTCCTGACTCACCTGCTGATCCCCTCAGCAGTGTATTTCAGGCAATCCACCTGTTGTGTCCCCACTGTCTCTGGTGATCCTCTCAACCCCCTCACCTCTGGCCTGTACCCCAGTTCTTGTATGCATAAATAATAAATAAATTCTTTTAAAAAATTATTCTTAGTCATTCCTAATATTATTCCTAGTAATTATTCCTAAATAAGTTATTCCTAAGTAAATGTATATTTATTCTTAGTAGGAATAACTAGCGATAATTATTAGCACACTATAGATTAAATGGCATTTTCTCAACCTGATAGCAAGAGCAGATCTACATAAAACCCTACAGCAACATTACTCTTAACTGGGAAATGATGATAGAAATCTTTTTAAATGAGGAACAGCATAAGCTTCCTTACTATTACCCTAGTATTCAACTATTCCATATTGTCATAGAGGTCCTAGCCAGAACAGAAAGAGATCAAAGACATAAAATTAATGGCAGAGGATTAGAAAAATTTATTCCCAGTGAAACTGAACCTATGTATCACACATATAACTAATGAGATATTTGTGATGTCTTTATGTTAACAATTGTAAGAGGTTATCAAAATACATTAGAAAACAGCTTTTAAAATGTAGCAGGAGGGCCTCCCCTGGTGGCACAGCGGTTGAGCGCTGGGTTGCGAGGCTGTTCACAGCCTCTGCAGCGCCAGTTTGATTCCCCGCCACCGGTGAGGGTCCCACAAAAAAAAAAAAAAAAAATTGGAGCAGGAGCCCATGGTCATGGACAGGAAGCTTCAAATTCACTGTGTCAATTCTCCCAAATCAATTCAAATTGATCAATGTGATTCTAATCAAAAGCCTTAATTTTTTTAATGATTTATTTATTTATGCATACAAGAGCTGGGGTATAGGACAGAATGGGGGGTGGTAGTGAGAAGATTCACCAGAGACAGAGTGGGGAACAGAACAGGTGGGCTGACTGAAATACACTGCTGAGGGGAGCAGTGGGCGAGACAGGAGAGGTCTGCCATGCCATGTGGGTTGCTCCCTGGCCGGCAGGGGATTGAACTCATGCTGCAGAGGCTGCAGATTGCTTCATAGTGCAGTGCTCAAACCCTTGCACCACCAGGGAGGCCCAAAATCCTTAATTTTTTAATGTGAAAACTTACAAGCGAATGATAAAACTTAAATGAAAAATCAAAGATCAAAATACTCAAGATACTGATTTAAAAAGGCAAGAGAATTTTCTCTATTAAGCATAATAATTAAAACTGTACTGCAGGGCCTCCCCGGTGGCGCAGCAGTTGAGCAACGCGCTGTGAAGCTGTCCACAGTATCTGCAGCGCCGGTTCAATTCCCTGCTGACCAGGGAGATTCCCACAAGGTGGGGCAGACCTCTCCTGCTTCGCACGCTGCTCCCCTCAGCAGTGTCTTTGGTCTGTCTGCCTGCTCTGCTCCCCGCTCTGTCTCTGGTGAATTCTCTCACCCTCCCGCGCTTCTGACCTGTACCCCAGATCTAGTATAAATGAATAAATAAATCTTAAAAAAAAAAACTGTACTGCAGACATATTGACCAATGGAACAGAATCGAGGCAAGAAGCACATCTTTGTGGAGTGTTGCTATGTGAAGGGACAGCACTGCAGATCAAGTAGGAAAAGAAAAGGGATTTTCTAGAAATGGTTTAGGGTAAATCATTATCATATAGAAAAAAACTAAATTAGATTCCTACCTCACATAATACACAAAAAATCACTTCTAGGCAAATTTAGACCCTAAAGGTAAAACAAAAATTCTACAATATTAAGAAGAAAATGTAGTATAATTGTTTTTCTGACCTTGGGATAATAAGAGATTTCTTAAAACAAGTCACAAGAATAAAGACAAGGTTAATAAATTCAACTCTGTTATAATTATGAATTCCTATTCATCAATCATAAAAGAAGTGAAAAACGCATACTGAAAGCTATATGCAACATATGTATCCAACAAGAGATCAATATGTAAAATATGTGAAGAACTCTTATAAATCAAAAGGAAAAGCAAACACTCCAACTTTTTTTTTTAAAGGTTAGAGATTTCTTAAGTGTCACTGTTTCCCCCCCCCCAAAGATTTCTTTATTTTTTTTTTTTTTTTTTTTAAAGATTTATTTATTTATTTATACAAGCACTGGGTACAGTCAGAAGCGCGGGAGGGTGAGAGAATTCACCAGAGCCAGAGCGGGGAGCAGAACAGGCAGAAGGACTGAAGTACACTGCTGAGGGGAGCAGCGGGCGGCAGGAGAGGTCTGCGCGCCATGTGGGACCCTCCTCCAGTGGCCGGGGAGCAGCCGGGGATCGAACTGGCGCTGCAGAGGCTGCGGGCAGCTTTGCAACCCAGCACTCAACCGCTGCGCCACCGGGGAGGCCCAAAGATTTCTTTATTTATTTATACAAGCACTGGGTATAGTCAGAAGCAAGGGAGAGTGAGAGAATTCACCAGAGCCAGAGCAGGGAACAGAACAGGCAGACTGACAAAGTACACTGCTGCGGGGAGCAGCAGGCGGCAGGAGAGGTCTGCACGCCATGTGGGACCCTTGCCTGGCGGCTGGGAATCGAACCAGCGCTGCAGAGGCTGCGGGCAGTTTTGCAACCCAGCGCTTCACCGCTGCGCCCAAACACTCCAACTTTTAATAGGTCATACACAATTACAGGACACCTTAGAGGAAAGAAAAACTTGTATGGCTACTTAACATTTGAAATGGTGTTCGATCTCACCAGTAATCAGGTAAATGCAAGTCAAGACCACAGTGAGATGCCCACCAGAAAGGCAAAGAATGTTTGATAAGGCCTCCCTGGTGGTGCAAGGGGTTAAGACACAACCTATAAAGCTGTCCACAGCCACTGTAGCACGAGTTCGAGCCCCAGGCCAGCCAAGGAGAACACACATGGCATAGCAGACATTTCCTGAATCGCCCGCTGCTCCCCACAGCAGTGTACTTCGGTCAATCTGCCTGTTCTGTTCCCCACTCTGTTTCTGGTGAATCCTCTCACCCCCCACACCTCTGGCCTGTACCATGGTTCTTGTATGCATAAATAAATAAACCTTTAAAAAAAAAAAAGATTGTTTTATGAGACCACAAGTTAGAGGAAATACACTTGAGAATTCTTAGATGTTGCAGGTAAGGAATAAATTGATATGACCACTTAGGAAGACCATTTGGCATTGGCAATTGGCATTATCTCATAAAGCAAACCCTATAAACAGCAAGGTACTACTTTCAAGAGGAATCTGATAAAACTTAACTACATCTATGTGTGCTAAGAGACAACGGTTCATAAAACAATGCTCATGGTAGCAAAAAGTGGACATAATCCAATGTCTACTTACAGGAGATTATATTCATACAGTGTAACATCAGATAGCAGTGAAAAAAGAGCTATAGCCTTATGTAGTAAGACAATATTAGAAAAAGTATGTCTAAAAAAATAATGTGATTCCATTTTTATGACATCCCCCAAACATAGGAATGACTGTTTTAGAATACCTATAGCTATAGTTTTTAAAGCAAGGGCATGATAAAAAAAATATTTAGGTCAAAGCTATCTCTGACCAAGTTGTAGGGAGATGGGGAGGAGGAATTCATACTCTGAAGTTGGTTATTGGCTGGGGATCGAACTCGTGCTGCAGTGGCTGGGATAGCTTAATAGTGCTGTCTTTAACCCCTGAGCCACCAGGGAGGCCCAGATGTCAGCATTATTTAAAAAATACTAAAGAAAGTTAAAATAGACCAATAATTGGGTCTCCCTGGTAGCATAGTGGTTAAGTCTCAGTGCTATCACCACAATGGCTTGAGTTCGCACCCCAGCCAGGGAGCTGACTCACATGGCGCAGCAGACCTCTCCTGTCTCGCCCACTGCTCCCCTCAGCAGTGTTTTTCAGTGGATCTGCCTGTTCTGCTTCCTGCTCTGTCTCTGGTGAATCCTCTTGCACCCCACACCTCTGGCCTGCACCCCAGTTCTTCTATGCATAAATAAAACTTCAAAAAAAAAAAATAGACCAATAATGACAGCATGTTGTGAACCAAGAGTTAATAATTATTCCAATTCTGTGTCACACACACTCTGAACTGAAAGAGCACACAAGACATCCTCTTCCTTTCCCCACATCCCTACCTGTGTCCGAGCATTGAGCAGCTGCTGGAAACTCTCAACCTCTTTGCTGTCATCTGCAGCCCGCTCCTAGGGGAAGCCAATGGGAAATCTCAAGTTTAAGGAGAAGCAGCCCTTCACTTCAGGTTTCCCCTTTCCTCATTAGTCATTGTTCAGACTCCAGGAACAAAACTCAAACAAGGCCACGTCATCTCTGCCCACATGGAGCTAACAGAGCAGGGGGGATCCTGAGTTCTCTGGGCAGGGAATCAAGGAAAGGGGGAGGTTTTTACCATCAGCACACCCAGCATCATGTCATAGTTGTTGATCAGAAACACAAGCTGCTCCTTCCTTGAGGAGAACTCAGCTGCCACACGGAGGACAAAGTTCTCCACTTCCACCTGAAAGAGCCGAGAGGAGGTGATGTGAGCAGGCCAGGGCCCCTCCTCACACTGCAGCCCACGGCAGCCACCCTGCTGCTGGGACATGTCTGGCCCTACGCTCACCTGTAGTTGTCCCAGAAGCTGCATCGCTCGCTCATTGGGAATTGTCTGATTGATGCTCACCAGGGCAGAGGAGAACTCTGCATATCGGCGCGTGATCTGGGAGGAAGTGGGAGGAAACATCATATCAACTCCCGGCTCAACCAATACAGCCTCCTGACTCCCTTGAGGCTGGTCAATCAACCTGTGTGACTCCCACCTCCAACCCCTACAGACAACACCCAACCCACTCTGAGCTGGCCCACACTCGACTGTCCCCTCTCAACGTGTGTCTAAACATCCAGCCAGACCCACCACACAACTGTGACCCTGGCCACCTACCACTGTGAAGCTTACACCTGCCTTTCAGGAACCCCTTTATTACCCTCACTCTCCCTTACATAGTGGGGCCGAGTATCCAGTCCCCCAAGGCGCTGAGGGTCAGTGCTTCGGACACTCTGGACATTCATCTCCAGGATAAGTTCAAACCGTGGCCACAGCAAAGCAAGCACCTGTTCCCAGTACCTGTGGGCTTATCAGAGTCAGACTAGAGGGCAAGAAAGGTGATGGTGGGGAGAAGGGGTGGGGTTTCTGTGGGGAAATCTGATTAACAGGTGATTACAGGTGATGGTACAACTGGGTGTGAAAGATGGACCCCGAAGCCTCAACACTGGCTCCAAGCAGAAGGATGGGGGATAAGGGCGATCGCTGTCAGGAGCCTTGCAAGGGACAGGGCAGAGTCACGTTAGACTAAGAGTTCAAGGCAGCAGGGCAACAAGGACCAGAACTCAGTGACCTGTCCAGGGCAGGAACATCCCTCTTTGCTGCAATGTTGCGGAATCGGAGGACGATGTGGATACACAGAAAAACAGCAATGGCATCGTAACAGTCTGCGAGATAGGACTCCAGATGTTTCTGTGATTTAAGAACAGGTAAGGGATTGAAAAGGAATTTTACTATGACATTCCCAACAGCTATGGACAAATGCAAATTCTCCTCAGGCTGCAGCACTGGGAGGGATGGATGGGAGGGGAGGCAGGGAGAGGCATAAGAGATCTAAAAGGGGCAATGAGCCCCCCCTTCCCTGACAACTGGTCACTCAGTGGCCTTACTTGCCAGGATCTCTGCTTTCAAGCTAGCAGAGAATTCAGAGCTGAGCACCATGGGTTAGGGCCCCTCAGTTTTCAAGTGCTGCTGCCTGGGTGTGGCTCAGCAGGAAGGGTGTCTTACAAACTCCCGGCTTTGAGGGTTTCATGGGGAATACATCGTGACTACAAGGTTTAGAGATTTTAGAAATGAGGGGTTGCAGTACCACTAGAGTTATGATCCCACTGTGGCACTGCTGAGAACTAGGGCAAAGCGCCAAAGAGCACAGGAGACGGGTATCTCACCAGCGTCATGCTGAGTGTGCGGCCCATGACAGCATGGAAGAGGTCGTGAGCAGCTGGGCCAGACACAATAAAGAATTCACAGATGAAAAGATATTCACGGCAGGAGTTGTCTAGGAGGGCGTAGTGCTGGCTGCGGAAGAGCGCCTCAAATGGGTACTAGGGTGGGAGGGGTAAACAGACAGACACTGACTCCTCCAGGATATGGGGGCAAATCATCAAACCTGGGTAAAACCCTTCCCATCCACCCAAGTCCAGACTGAAAGAGCATCCTGAATGGGAACTAAAGTTGGGGTGGGGAACACAAGAGGCTGTAGCCCACCCCACCCTGCCTCATGACCTGTCATCCCCTCAGGAAGCCTCTCCCCTCATCTCTCTTCACATCACAGAACTCATGAGGACAACTAGAGGCCACCCCCTGGTCTGAGGGGATTTATGTAGGGCAGGCAGGTGGGATGCTTTGCCCTGAGCTCAGGATTTCCCCAGCCACCCCCTCCATGCTCAGTGGTCCCATCATGACTGAAGCTCATTCCTCCTTTTCCTACCCTCTGTTCTCCCCGCTGGGCGGTGTGGGGCACCAGGATGGGGGCCTCCAGTTCCGTGGGGGAGATGACAGAGCCCCGGGTACCCAGGGTGAAGATAGTGTTCCTGCTGCGGAGGGATGGCTTCGAGAAGAACCGTGAAGGGTCAGAGTCAGGGAACAATAAGGTCACAAGTAATTTGGAAAGTCACTCAAGGGCCTCCCTCGTGGCACAAGGGGTTGAGACACACCTATGAAGCTATCCGCAGCCACTACAGCACAAGTTCGATCCCTTGCCAGCCGGGGAGCTGCCCGCATGGCGCAGCAGACCTCTCCTGACTCACCCGCTGCTCCCCTTAGCAGTATATTTCTTCAGTCTGCCTGTTCTGCTCCCCACTCTGTCTCTGGTGAATCCTCTCACACCCTGCACCCCTAGGCTGTTCCCCAGTTCTTGTATGCATAAATAAATCTTTAAAAAAAAGTCACTCAATACCTCTGGGGAGGACCCCAGCAGCTAGATAGAGCCTAGATGCCCCCCTTGCCCAATACCAAGGCCCCACTTCACCTGACATCTGTGAATGGGCTTCCTGGAGCCTCTACAACCCCTAACACCATATGCAAAATTACTGTCAAAATGATCTGGGGAGGATGCTGTAGCCTTCATCGCAGTATCAAAAGTTCCAGTCCCACAATAAAGGTGAGAAGCAGTGCCTTGCAGGTCGGACCCAGAAGCACCCTCACTCTCAAGGCCTAATATAAGGGTTCTCAGCTCTAGGATATCTTTCTTTGCTGTATCTTCCACACCCATTAGGTCATCCTTCTCAGCAACTTCCTCGTACTAGAGAAAAGAAAAGAGCACCGGTCACCATCTCCTCCAACAGCACACAGGCCCCCTGCCCAGCGGTGGTTCCACCTCCCAGCCAGTGTACTCAGGAGCACCCCCTTCTCCTCGGTCTCACCTGGACCTTCATGAGGCGCCCCAAGTAAGAGCGGTAGTAAGACAGGTAGATCTTGCTCAGTGTCTCCACATATTCATCCCTGATCTCCTTCGCTGTTGCTCGTTCATTGCCCAGCAGGAATTGATAGAAGAACCTGGGGGGCCAGGGATGGGTCAGTCTCCCTGCCTGCCCAAGAAAGCAGACATGATGGGGAGCTGCTTGGACGCTCAGAGACCATCCCATGCCCTTCCTTGAATGGTGACCTGTACTTCAGCAGAGCCGTCTGGGGGATCTGATAGTTGGTCATTGGTTTTCTGAAGGAATAAATCTTCTGAAGGATGAACTCGCGGATCTTCGTCACTGCCTAGATGTGGGGGCCAAACACAGGGCATAAAGCTGTAACTGTTTGGGAGGCAGATAGTAAGTGGGGGACACGACAAATGTTAAACATAGAAGAGGGAGGGTGGAGAATATCTCTTCAGTAATCTTGGGATTTTCAGTGGAGCCCAAAGAGGTGAGGGGGAGTTCTGACAGGTAATGGCAGGGGACAGGCTACCATGAGCTCTGCCAAGGAAATCCAGAGTGAAAGAATCGGGGAGCAAGTTCTAGTCATCTCAGGTGACTAGACAGCCCCCACCTTGACCCGGAGCCTGTCAAGCACGCCTCTGACGTCAGCGCAGGCTGCTGTGCCTCTAGATTCCTGCTCTCGAACCGCAGCTGCCTTGGCATCGAGCTCCTGCAGCTGTTCCAGGAACCTGGGCTCTGTCACTGGTGCTTCCAGAATTGCCCTGCAAGGAGCAATGGGATGGGTTAGGAAGAAGACCCAGGCATCACAGGACTTCAAACCATATCCCTGAAATCCAGTTTCTGACTCCTCTCCCCTCTCACATCATAGCATGCAGTCAGGATACAAGTACTAAGTTCTCTGTTCTTGGACCCCTTGGACTTGGACTTCCTTACTATATACTCAACTCTGGATGATTCCTAACTTTTGATGCCTATAGTATGCACCAAGGTTAGAAAGAGCTGCTAACCTACCCATCTGTTTCTAAAAGGCACTCGAAGACCTAGAGCCAGGAGATCCACATGTAAGTAGGGTAGGTCACCCCAGTCTATCTACCTGCTATAGATATTGTGACCCTTCAAACCAGTGACTTACGTGACCAGCACAGAGGGCACTACCAGGCCATCAACAAGCTCCCCAAGTTTCCCACGAACTGCCTGGCGGTTCCGAAGTCGAATGTTCATGGCTCCAGACTGCTCCTGCAGTGTCCGGATCTCCGAGCTGATGGAACTGAGGTCACTCTGAAAAGCCCCCAACATCTGTTCCATGCGCTGAGGGGAAGAGGGGAAGAGGGAAAGGTTTGTTGGAGCACCACAGGGTTGGCAGAGAACAAGTGGGTCACCTATGTTTACTGGTAGTCTCCGGTATCACCAGGTAATATAAGTGATGAAGGAAGAGTACCCTAAAAGTCATTTGCAAGTATCAGAAAAGGCTGCTGAGGTTTTCCTGAAAGTGACTCTGTCTCCACCTGAGGCTGATAACCTCAAGAGATCATGGCATCAGAGACCACGAACTGTTTCAGTGTTTTCAGGGGTGATTGTTACTAACCTCTAGAACAGCATCGCAGGCTGTGATCTGGTTGTGCAGAGATGCTATGTTCTCACTCTCTTGGATATCTGACCCACAAAAAGTCAAGGGGCCCATTATGAAGATGGAGAATGATCTCAGATTTGCAAGACCCTTGTAATTTCTCCCTAAGGTGATAGAAACCTCAAGCAGAAGCTGGAAGCCCATAGCACATTCTACAAAATCCCCATTTTAATAATAGCACCCTTTACTCTGTTGGGAGGATACAATCCCGAATGGACTTCTGTTCAATCTGTTGTAGCTCCAGTTCAACCTGCTTTGAATAGTGACGGAGATCCACACCCTGGTACAACATAAACATGAAAGGTGAGATAGAAGTCACTGGAATAGAATCAACAAAGGACTAAAGGGGTGTTATTTTAAGAGCAAGAGACAATTTCCTTTTTTTTTTTCCCTTGAGGGAAGTGTTAGTTGAGGGCAGTTTAGTATAAAATCTCACCGTTTTAAGAGCTTCCTTTACTAATTCATCCTCCAGATTTGCCTGAATGTGAACTGGAAACAGAAGTTTGTCATAAGGGTCTAGCTCCACAGCTCCCTCTTCCCACACTGATCATCTGCACACCAATCCCTGACTTATCATTTCCAGCCCCCAACCCTCTCAGACTGCAGGCACTTATATCCACCCTGGACCATCACTTACCATCTACTTCATCCAGGATGAATTCATCAGAGGTGATGTCCAACTCTCCAAGTTGCAATGGTTCCTGAAGACAAGGACCACCCCCCTGGAGAGGGACAGGTTAATGGGAGAGGATACAGAGAGAGAGGGGAAGAAAATATAATGGGATAAACCCAAACTTCAAATGTGTATGGGGATGGGGGGTAAGCCGTAGGTACTGAGTCAAAAAAAATCCCAAAACACTCACATGGAAACCAATCTACCATTTAGGCCTGATGGAATAGGAAATGCAGAAAAACAGTATAGGTGTATGAATGAGAACAATTAAGTATTTCAGGGGACAGAGCAGAACTGCATTTAGTTTGAATCCCAGACTCCTGCTCTTAGGTTTACTATCCCAATCCCTCTGGGGAGTCCCAGCTTTTGCAGAAATGTCAGTTAACACACAGTTTTTAGGTGTATGCCAGGTGCCGACGTATATATACTCATTCTAATCCTCGTTCATCTAACCGACAACCTTTATGGCAGGTCTTATTTCTTTCTCCTAATAGGTGTGAAGTGATAGCACAGAGGGGCTGGTTAATATGCCCAAGGGCACACTGCATGTAAGTGACAGAACTGAAATTACAACCCAGGCAGTCTGGCTCCAGACATATTCCTAAACTTTACACTACACTGCTTCTCTATTCTGCCCGAAAATCTGTAAGTTAATTGAAATTTTGCCCCCCAGCTTGAATCTCGCCATTCTGGTCTCCACTCAGGTTTAGGTGATGCCAGGGAGGTGTACACAGAACCAAACAAGCAGCATCACCGGTAGCAGCCAAGCACTACCCTCGTATTAAACCCAGCCCAGGCCTGTCTGCACGGGAGGACGGCCGGACAAGAATTTGGAGAAGAAACAGTCCTGCGTTCTCACCAGCGGGCCCTCCTCCTCTTCCATATCCGAGGCCCCAGCTCGCAATACCAGCTCCCGGGCGGCTGCGGCCATGGTCGCAGCGGCGGCCATTCCGCGCAGCCTCACTTCCGGCAGCTGTCAGTCCCGGCGAGTCCGTTCCCCGGAGTGGAACTACAAGTCTTGAGATGTCTTACGCAGAGTGAAATCGCTCCCAAATATTTAGTTAAATTTTTTCACTACAGTCTCCACCATTCCGCTTTAACCACTTCACCCGAGAGTAAAAGCGAATTGGAAGTCTTGGGGACAATCTCACCCCGGAACCTTCGCTGCCCTCTCACTCGAGAACTTTACGAACTGTAAAGAGAAACCGTACCGGAAGTTGTGGTGGCCCATTCAGTCTGTCTCTAGTCGGCTAGTCCAGAAGCAGTTTCAGGAAGCACTTTGCCAAGATCGCTCCGCCTCTTCCGCCGAGTAGGGTATATAAGACTGTTACGTAACTTCCGCTCTCTCTTCCACAGGAGGCCTACACGCCGCTGCTTGGCCGCCGCCATGGTAAGACTGGAGTTCGTGCGGGAATCCAGCGACATCGGAACTCGAGCAGGGATGATCTGCTATCAGGGGGCCAAAAACATCCTATCCTGGGGGCCTGCAACGTCTGTGTGGAGCCTTGGACCCCTCATCTGCGAAGGGACGAGTAAAGACATCTAGCTCTGGGGAGTGGGTCCAGAGGAAAAGTCACCCCGTAGGCGCTGGAAACACGCTAAAGTCTTGGGCTTGTATGGGCATCTCCGGTCTCTGCTACTCAGAGTGTACTTTTGGGACCAGGCAGGAAACTTGCCCTCTCCCCAGAGGTTGCATGTTCTCAGTCCTGCGCACTTCATGTACCTGATGTCCGCAGGACTGAGGAGTTTGCTGTGCAGTTCATGAAAAGGGGTCGTTGCACCCTGTGTGACAGGCTCCCTGCTTGAGGTTAAGTTTTGATGGTACTTCACGGTGTCTGATTTCTCCCCCATCTCTGTCAGTCTCTAGTGATTCCTGAGAAATTCCAGCACATTTTGCGAGTACTCAACACCAACATCGATGGGCGGCGGAAAATAGCTTTTGCCATCACCGCAATTAAGGTAAAGGAGGGTAAGGAGTAGAGAAATGTAAGTGAAATGTAGGTTGTTAAGATACAAGCCATAAATCGGACGAGGTTGAGAATATTTAAGTCCCAATGAGATCACCTCAGGGTTTCAAAAAAGGAGCAACTAAACCCATTACCACATTTACTCCAAAAGGTAAGTAATGAAAGCCCAAAGAGTAGTCTCAGGTCAGTTCAGAGGATGGTGCAAGTGGGTTTGTTGTCTTCTGGGATTCACTACAGTTTTCCTGGAACCATTATCCAGCTTGAGAGCTCCATTCTAGGTTTGATTTCTGTCACTCGTCTGTGCATAACAGCCATCCTTCCTGTGAAACTTAATTGCTAGTAATAATAACTACATCTAGAAGATTGAGTGGAAATGCTAACAGATTCTAAGTGTGAAGAAGCCAGTAGGTGGGAGGGGTGTCATTACCATAGAGCCTGGATATTTACTCAGAAGCCAGAGGTGAAGTCGTTGCCTTTTTCCAGTGGAAGTGGAAACCAGTATTTGGCTAGTTGCGTGAGTTAACAATGAGTGGGTACAAACTTGGCTCTCTCCCTGATGAACTTCAAGCCTTCTGGATGGAGACATCATTTTTCCGTTAATCAAGACATGCAGTTCTAGAACTGGCTCTACCTAATTGTGCCTTCTGTGGGGAAAAGGATAATTAACCTGTCTTGCTCACAATCCTCAGCTTCTTGGGTATGATAGGTGCTAATACCCTGTTAGGGAGTGTTTGTTACCTGGGGTAGTGTAGTCTAGTTTCAAAGAGTTTAAAGGAAACCGATAAATATTTTATGGGTAAGTTGTTGGTTTACGTTTGACTTACAAGATCGACATACCCTTTATTTTCTTCTGTACTGCAGGGAGCACAGCTTTCATTTGTTCTTCAATAGTAGATAAGACTGCAACCTGTGAGACCTGGTAGCAGTGTAAAGTACAGTACATTTTTCAAGGGTTGCTGTACTTCAGTGAGATAGTGAATGTAAAAGATGAGTGTGGTTAACAGGATGCTTCTGTTAAACCCTTCCTCTTTGAAGTTCATTGGTTTGGTTGATGCTTTAGTTAGTGTGCGCCATAATCTTTGTAGCTAACCACAGTGTAACCAAAGCACCTTTAGGTAAGGTAGTTAATGAGTGTTATGATAACAAATTTCTTAAGGGAGGCCTCCCCAGTGGCTCAGGGGTGAAAGTCTCAGCACTATCAGGCTGTCACCAGTCACTGCAGCATGAGTTCGATCCCTGGCCAGGGAGCTAAACGCTTATGGTGCAGCAGACCCCTCCTGTCTCACCCTCTGCTCCCCACTCTGTCTCTGGTAAATCACTCCCTGCACTTTTGGCCTACACCCCACCCAGTTCTTGTATGCATGAATAAATAACCAAATTTTTAAAAATTTTCATAAGGATCCTGTTGTCCCTTATCACCTTTAGGGAAAGGTGCCTAAAGATAAATGAGTTTGTTCCTTTTGTGGCGAACCAGGAGAAACAGCTAGTTTTTCTGCTGGTGAGAATTAAAACTTGGTGGTCTTTGGTTAAGGATTTAGAATGGGGGAAGTATTTGAAGAAAATTTCGGGGGAGAGGGGTTCCTCAACAGAGGTCATTGATTGACCAATGGAAGGGTAAAGAATGGAAGTTGACACAGGCAGAAGGTATAAAGTGGTAATACAGATCCTGCAAGGTTATGCTGCAGTCCATTCCTAGTTGTATTGTCTCCACATGTAGACTTTGGCTGTGGTTGTTATTTAAGACTGGCTAATCTTCATCCTCTCTCTAAATCTGGGTGAGAGCTGCCAGGTGAATTGTTCAGAAAATTGGGAGAGGTTGGTTAGTTGGTCATAGTGACTGGAAGGTGCCCGCCCACTGGCCTTGTTTATAAGGAATTTTTGTTCTGCTAAAATACCAATGCCTTCGGGAGTAATAATGTTCCAGCTACTTTCTAGAGATTAATAGTAGGTGGATATCAACACTTACACTTTGTGGTCTTCTACTAAAAAGAGTTAAATAATGGTCCCTGAATTTACTCTTCTGGATATAGAAAATCCCAGTGGGCTCCTTGGGACTGAGGAAAGGAGGACTGACTTAGGCTGGTAAGCCAGTATCTAGAGTGTGAAAACACACTTTCAAAAACTTGAGCTTGACAGCAACTTTAAAATTTTTTGATTGGAAAACTTTGAAAGTTCAAAAGTAGTGGAAATTATCACCTCCCATGGATATATCATCTAGCTAAAAATTTGCAACCTAAATCTCAGGCCTACTCTAATCTGTAAATTTACGTATGAGGAACTTAGACCCTAATCTTTCTGAGTCAAACTTCTGATAATCTGATTCCCAAATCTTTTTTTTAAAGATTTATTTATACAAGCACAGGGTATAGTCAGAAGCGCGGGAGGGTAAGAGAATTCGCCAGAGCAGGGAACAGAACAGGCAGACTGACGAAATATACTGCTGTGGGGAACAGCAGGCGAGGCAGGAGAGGTCTGCGTGCCATATGGGACCCTCGCTGGCAGCCCAGGATTGAACCCGGGGATCGAGCCTGCGGTCAGCTTCGCAGGCCAGTGGTCAACCGCTGTACCACCGGGGAGGCCCCCAAATCATTTTTTTTAAAAGACTTATTTTTATTTATGCATACAGGGAGCTGGGGTGCAGGCCAGAGGTGGTGGGCAGTGAAGATTCATCAGAGACAGGGGAGCAGGACAGGCAGATTGACTGAAATATGCTGCTGAGGGGAGCAGCGGGCAAGACAGGAGAGGTCTGCTGTGCCATGAGGGTAGCTTCCTGGCCGGGGGTGTAACTGGTGCTGCAGTGGCTGGTGATAGCTTCATAGTCCCGTGTGCCACGAGGGAGGGGTTTTAGAGAGGTCCTGGGGCTATTAAGATAAATTACCACAGAGTTGACTTAAAACACCCAAATCCATCAGTGAAGCCAGACTCCCACTGAAAGCTCTAGGAATCCCTCCAGTGGTGGTTGCCGTCAGGCCTTGGAGTTCTTAATCTTGCAGCTGCATCACTCCAGCCTTCTTGCCTCTTATGTGGCCTTCTCTGTTCATTTTTTATGGTATCAAGACATTGGACTTAGGGCCTACCCAAATCCATTATGACCTCATATTAATAAATTACATTTCCAAAAATCCTAGTACAAATAAGGTCACATCCTGAGATTCTAGATAACCTTACATGGGGGTGGGAAGAAGGTGCTTAAGTCTACCCAGCACACCATTGTTCACACCAAACCAAATCTGGTTTGTGAATTCAGGTGGAAAGATGTACTGGTGTTGGTGTGGTGCCACCACTGTAAACATTAATTCCCTCTTGAGTTTGATTTAGGGATTAGCTTCCGGTCATCTCTAGGCACTGACAAAGTTTATGACCTTGGAAAACTTTGGTCATGGGGGCATGTGGTAACCTGCCCAAACATTGTAGCCCTTAGTGACCCCAAGCAACTGACAGTTTTGCCTCCTGATCAGTCCTGTTAACTCAGGAGAGACCCTAGTCTTCCTGCTTTTATGCTGCAATCTGCTTGGGGAGCCAGGCATCTTCCATAGTGTAGAGATTAAAAACGGTATGGTCTTTAATGCTGCTGCTATTATGTCCAACAACATGTTCAATGACTGTATGTTCTGGGCAGTGTGAAAAAGATCTGCTTTTGGGTTACCTACCCCCAAGTTCCTGTTCTTGGTCCAGCTGTACTCCTGATCCCCTTTATAGGTTGTATTTAGGCTTCACATCTGGAAAAACAAGTGAGGCGAGGGCAGTGTGGGAAATGCAAGAGGGCAGTGTGGAAAATGCAAAGCGCTGGGTAGTGGGACTCAAAGAATGCAGGCTGGGCCTCCCCAGTGGCGCAGTGGTTGAGCGCTGGGTTGCAAAGCTGCCCGCAGCCTCTGCAGCGCCGGTTCAATCCCTGGCTGCTCCCTAGTCACCGGAGGAGGGTCCCACATGGCGCGCAGACCTCACCTGCCGCCCGCTGCTCCCCTCAGCAGTGTATTTCGTCAGTCTGCCTGTTCTGTTCTCCGCTCTGACTCTGGTGAATTCTCTCACCCTCCCACGCTTCTGACTGTACCCAGTGCTTGTATAAATAAATAAAGTAAATCTTTAAAAAAAAAAAAAAGAATGCAGACTAAAACTCAATTACAAAATCTTCTCAGGGTGTGGGGCGAAGATATGCTCATGTGGTGTTGAGGAAAGCAGACATCGACCTCACCAAGAGGGCTGGAGAGCTGACAGAGGATGAGGTGAGGACAGGGAAGGGGACTGGTGGGCTGGGAGGGGGGACACCAACTCCAGATCTGACCCTTGTCCTGCCTGCCAGGTGGAACGCGTGATCACCATTATGCAGAATCCACGCCAGTACAAGATTCCTGACTGGTTCTTGAACAGACAGAAGGACGTGAAAGACGGGAAATACAGCCAGGTGTGTGTGGAAAGATTGTAGAAAAATAGGCAGGAGTTCACTTAGAACTGGTCGTGGGAGGTAGAGTAAGACGAACATCCTTCCACCTTCCAAATCCAGGTCCTGGCCAACGGTCTGGACAACAAGCTCCGTGAAGACCTGGAGCGACTGAAGAAGATACGGGCCCACAGAGGGCTGCGCCACTTCTGGGGGTGAGTGGGGGTAGGGTTCTCATCTCCCTGACTCCCCCACATTCCCAGAGATTTCTTCTCTGTACTGGTATGACCCATGGCTATTCTCTTTTCTCACTTGCAGACTTCGCGTCAGAGGCCAGCACACCAAGACCACAGGACGCCGTGGCCGTACTGTGGGTGTGTCCAAGAAGAAATAAATCTCTAGGCCCTGCAAATAAATAGTTTATACGGCTATGATCTGTGTGGTTCTCTGTTGTGGGGATACTGGTGTGGAATGCTGTCACTCAGCCCTGTTAGGCATTCTCCCCTCTTTCCTGATGTTACCCACTCAGCTGCCCAAACATTGAGTATCCTTGGTCTTAGTTAAAACAAGTTACCAATTGCAGCCCCACCTGAAGCAACCCTTCACCTGGTGGGGCTCTGCCCTCTTAAGATAAATGAAAGGTGACAACCAACCACCCAGCCTGGAGGTGGAGCCTGACCAGCGTCTAGACAATCAGGCTCCTGGGGGGTGGCGTGCCACATGGTGATAGAGCTGGGCCGCTGGTTGTTGGGGGTGAGTAGCTCGTTTGGGCCACTTAAAGAGACCTAGTTTCTAAAGGATGAGGGCTGGGAGTCAAATTTTGGGGAGATGGTGATTTCACTGACCCGGAAGAGCAACCTCCAGCATCAGGCTTCCCGGCGTGATTGGTTGGGGAAGCAGGCTGCTGCCGGTTCCACAGGCTCCGCAGCGTTCCTCTAGCAAAGGGGTTGAAGTCTGTTCCCGCCCGGGGGAGTCTGGCACGTTGCCGCGGCTTCCAGCGAGAGGGGCAGGCCCCCGCCGCGCGTGTGGGGAGGGGCGGCGGGAAGAGTCGCCATCTGGAAGCCATGGCGCGGAGCTCCGGGGCCGCGGGGCCGCCACAAGGTAACCTCGCTCCCTCTCCAGCTCCGGTCTTCCCCCTCATCCCGCTCCCCACCTCCCAGGGTAGGCGCTGGCCGCATGCTCCGCCCGCCCCGCCTCGGGCCGGTTTGGGACCCAGGCCACCGAGACCCGGGCTAACCACCCTCTCCCTCCCTCCAGCTCCCCTCTGACTGTCACACACCATGCCCTTCAGCCTCTCCCGGCGATTTCTCGTAGCCGCCCTGCTACTGGTGATTGTTTGGACCCTCCTGGGGCTTTCCGGTATCGAGGAGGAGCTGCTGAGCCTCTCGCTAGCCTCCTTGCTTCCAGCCCCAGCCTCGCCCGGGCCGCCCCTAGCCCTGCCCCGCCTCTTGATCCCCAACGAGGCCGCCTGCAGGACTCCCGGCGCCCCACCCTTCCTGCTTATCCTGGTGTGCTCCGCCACGGAGAACCTCAACCAAAGGAACGCCATTCGGTCCTCATGGGGCAGGCTGCGGGAGGCCCAGGGGCTCAGGGTGCAGACTCTCTTTTTGCTGGGAGAGCCGAGCAGGGGGCATCCTGCCTGGGACTCGGAGCACAAGGAGCTGGCCCTCGAGTCTGAAGCCCACGGGGACATCGTGCAGGCAGCCTTCCAGGACTCCTACCGCAACCTTACTCTCAAGACCCTCAGTGGACTGAACTGGGCAGAGAAACACTGCCCCATGGCCCGCTACATCCTCAAAACTGATGACGATGTGTTCGTCAACGTCCCTGAACTGGTATCAGAGCTGCTCCGGCGAGAGGGACACTCGCAGCGATGGCAGAGGGGCCAAGGAGGGCTTGAGGTGGGACATGAACAATGGGAAGGACACTTCACCTTGGGGCACCAGCCCGTGCCTCTTTTGTACCTGGGCCGTGTACACTGGCGGGTGTACCCCTCTCGGACACCGGGGTACAAGCACCAGATATCAGAGGAGCAGTGGCCTCCCACCTGGGGTGCCTTTCCACCCTATGCCTCTGGCACAGGCTATGTGTTGTCTGCTTCCGCTGTGCAGCTTGTGCTCAGAGTGGCCAGCCGGGCACCCTCTCTGCCACTGGAGGATGTCTTTGTGGGGGTGAGTGCCCGACGAGGAGGCCTCTCCCCAACCCACTGTGTCAGGCTAGCTGGTGCCACCCACTACCCCCTGGACCGGTGCTGCTATGGGAAGTTCCTGCTGACCTCCCACAAGTTGGACCCCTGGAAGATGCAGGAAGCCTGGAAGCTGGTGGGCAGCTCCAAAGGGGGTAGGACTGCACCCTTGTGCTCTTGGTTTCAGGGAGTCCTGGGCATCACGCGTTGTCGGATAATAGCCTGGCTTCACAGCTGAGTGCTGGGGCCACAGGTGGAGGAGCTGAGGGCCTATCCACCATCTTCGGACCCTCATGACCTTTTCTCACAGGCCCAAGACTGGGCCCTCACTGGTGGCAATCATAATTTTCTGTCCGGATGTTTAGTACTAGAGACTGAAGAATAGAGGAGAAACCTAGGGGACTGGTCTGCCAACCCCAAGATGGTCATCAGGAAGAACAAAGAAATGCTGGAGCTGTCCCCTCCAGCCATGGCAGAAGAGGGACACACGCCCCTCAATAAACTTGTCTTTCTACCTCTTCAAGTGTAGTGTGTTCCTCACCAGGATCCCCAGAACACAAACCTGGAGAGCCTAGAGACTGCCAGGACTGCTCAAAGGATGTGGGTGGCAGAGGGCAGCCTCTCTGAGGAGGAAGACCTCTAAAGAGCAAGGCTAAGGCCACAGCAACTGCAATGGGTAAGGGTGGAGGCAGGATACCCAAACCCCTCAGATCCTAAAGTAGCTCCAGGCTGGACCAGGGAAGAGGAACAAGGATGATCCAGACACAGTATCTAAAAAAAAAAACCACCTTCCTCTTTAATGCCAACCCACCCCTGGAACCAGATGTCTGCCCCAGTCAGGGACTGGGCTCACGACCCCCTCTTTATTCCAGGAAACAGGCTCATTTCCCCAAAAGCTATCTTAGGGAGAGATGATTTTCATGCCACCCTGGAGCCTGGCTCAGCGTACAAATCTATCCAGGACAGATGGCCGGTGCCCAGTAGGCTTCGCCTTATCTTGCTTCTGTGGCTGCTGTTCAAGGCTCTGACGGACTTTGTCCTGGTGGGGGGAAGGGAATGGGGGAGGTGAGACGGGCAGGCTGGACAGGCCAGAGGCACAAACAGAGGCACAAAATGCTCATTTACCCGGTGTTCCTCATCCATGACCTTCCTCTTCCTCTTTACCAGGCTTGCTGTTGAGCTGCGCCCCTTCTGCTTTGGCCTTGGTTGGAAGGGGGCCTTGGCTTCTGGGTCATAGCCCTAGAAGAGTAGATAGTAAAATCCACAAAAGCCCCAGAGGCAAGGAACTGGCAGTACCCAACAACTCACCCGAGCTTTGGGGATATGGGGAGAGGTGTGGGGGTGAGAGGAGCGCCGTACCAGCCTCTCTATCCGCTCCTTCTTTTCCTGCTCCAAAGAGATGACATCAACCTCTGCCAGGGCTCGTGGATCTAGACAAATGAGCTCTGCAGGGACCTGGAGGTATCACAGAGGGACAAAAATGGGTAAGGAGTCACAAGAGGAAGACCCCCAAGAGGAACAGAAGCCAGAGACCACCATTCCCACAACCCCCAGTATGGGGAGCTTTCCCTACCCTCAACCCCAGACCACACGCAAGCACGTCCTCACCTTCTCTAACAGGGCCTTCACCTCCCACTCCTGGCGCTGCTTCCTGCTCCTGTATGGGTTACTCTCCAGGCCGTCAAAGTTGGGCTCAGCAGCCCCTGGCGGGAGGAAGGAGCATGGAGCCATCAATAGGAACTCTTGTCCAGCAGCTCCAGCCTGACCAAGCCCTGCCTGTGGCTCTCAGGCCTACTCTAGTTTCCATCCTGAGTTCATTTACTGTGAGTCCCATCCCCGGGCCCACTTACCAGGGACCAGCATGCTGGTGATGCCCCCACTGTGCCCGACCCCTAGCACATCTTCAAAGGGGCAGAACTGAAGGCCATGTACATGGCCTGAGAGGTGGTGGGTGAGGTAGGGCTTCTCCAGGGAGGGTGGGCTGGCCTTGCCCTGCCCTGCCCATATGTTGACCACATCACCCATTCCCGCAGCCAGCAGTCCCCGCTGGGAGAAGGCCAGGTGCCCTGCTCCCTGGGGCAGGGTCCGAGCGGTCAGGGGCTGGAATGTCCCTCGCAAGTCAAAGATCTTCAGCTGGTGGTCCAGGCCAGAAGTGGCCATGTACCTGGGGAAAGAAAGAGAGGGGCTCAATCACAGACCTGTGGGCAAGTCTAGGTATGAAGCACAGGTGGGGAGAAAAAGACCAATAATGATATTTACTGCTCCCATCACACCAAACACTCCGCAGGTATCCTCGCAGTTAGGGGTGACACAACTCTGTCCTATTTGTGCATGGTAAAACACACGTAACATAAAACTTGCCATTTAACCAATTTTGACTCTACAATTTCATGCCACCAAGCACATTCACATTGTTGTGCAACCACAATAGGTACATTTTACATATATCGATGTGTGTGTATATACATACAGCTTATTTTTTTAAAAGACTTATTCATGCATACAAGAACTGGGGTACAGGCCAGAGGTGTAGGGAGGGTGAGAGGATTCACCAGAGACAGAGTGGGGAACAGAACAGGCAGACTGACTGAAATACACTGCTGAGGGGAGCAGCGGACGAGGCAGGAGAGGTCTGCTGCGCCATGTGGGTAACTCCCTGGCCAGCCGGGGATCGAACTTGTGCTGCAATGGCTGTGGCTAGCTTCATAGTGTTGCGTCTTAACCCCCTGCACCACCAGGGAGGCCCTGACAGACAGTATTGAGTAAAGTTCCTGCGCTGTACATCACATCCCTGTGACTTAAATTTATTTTTTAACTGGAAGTCTGTACCTCTTGATCCCTTTCACTCATTTTGCTCCCTGCTCCAACTCTATTATTTTTATTTTTCTCTGAGATGAGGAAACTGAAACATGGAAAAAGGAAATCAGGGTGAGTGGGAGAGCTAGAATTTAAGTCAGACTTATTTCATTAGTGTCTACCCTCTTACCTACTCAACATGTGTCAAAGAACACAAGACAACCTGGGCCTGAATGTGAAGTTCCACTGTCCAGACAGCACAGCAACCTGGCAGAGCGAAGGGTGGACTGCCGTGGTCAGGGTGCACTTTGTGGGAAAACTGGTATTTGAGTCATTCTAGGTTAACTCCCAAGAAAGCACAAGAAATAGATATAGTAGGTACAAATGAATTAACATCAGAGTGGAGCCAGAAAAAACAGATTTGTTTTCAGAATGGGTATGAAATATGTTCAAGAGGCTCAGGATGGACATACCAGGAACTCGTAAGCAGTGGACCGAGAACCCAAAGTCTCCAACAATGCTCTCTGGCACCAAAGACTTCATGGATCTGAGAAAGCCTCAGGAAGCCATGAAGTAGTATGCCTGAGGGCCCTGCACTCCCTCCACCCCACACACGCACCTTTTCCCTGAAGGAGGGCAAGGTTGGTGGCCAAATCCTCTCAAGGAATTGTGCACTGCCTAAGTTGTCTACTTTTTAGAGACATGAGTTTCTACCCTTGCTCTAGTCATCCTTCAGAAAGAAAGGCTGAAAGGGGATGTACCAGGCCAGGGGATGTATGTTTGCCAAAGAGCTGTGAACCCAGAAGGGGACTGAAGAATTCTATGAGTGGAGACCCACCCTGTAGTGAGGCTGAACAGTGGCCCAGCAGGATACTTCTGACAAGACCAGACGATGGGGGCCCTGGCTCTAACTCCACCAGCAGGCAAGGTCATGAGTGTAAACAAGGAATAGCCGGGCTCCCGGGACTCAAGGGCACACCCTTCAGTGAACCAGCACTAGGGGCATAGGTTGTTCCTGCCCTCACACACTGTGTTGGGATCCTCCTACACAAATACCAGTCCACAGGCCAGATGCGCATCCAGGCCACAAGAAACAGTTTAGAGAATCCAATGCACCCAAGATTCAAGTTTCCAGAAAACCTTATGAGAAAGGTAATAAACTCATCTCTGAAGTCCCTGTGGCTTGTCTGCGGCACTTCTGAGGAGGGTCAGAGATAAGCAGGATAGGCCTGAGATCAAGTGGCAGAACCATTCAGCTTCAGTTGTTGAACAAACCTCTGTGCAGTGATCACAACACAGAAGCAGCTAACCTAGGCAGCCCAGGGCAGGTCAACCACAGCTTAGGCCTGGGGCATATAGAAGGCAGGTTCTGCCCTCTCCCAGAGCCAGGCTGGCACAGCTATGAAGTCAAAAGAGTGGGGCCAGATCATTTGTCCACAAAGATGGGGGGAGGGGCGGTCCAAGCATATATTAGGCTTTCCTAAGTTGGTGGCCACCTTTTCCTGATGTTCTCTAAAATAACTTAAAAATGGAGTTAGGTGACATACTTCATGTAGAAGGTTCCTGAGCAGCAGGGTGAAACAAGGAAAGACTAGGGCCCTCCCTGGTGGCATAAGGGGGGAGACTCATCACTATGAAGCTATCCGCAGCCACTGCAGCACAAGTTCGATCCCCAGCCAGGGAGCTACCCGCATGGTGCAGTAGACCTCTCCTGTCTCGCCTACTGCTCCCCTCAGCAGTGTATTTCAGTCAGTCTGCCTGTTCTGTTCCCCACTCTGTCTCTGGTGAATCCTCTCACCCTCTGCACCTCTGGCCCTACACCCCAACTCTTATATGCATAAATAAATAACATAAACCTTTAAAAAAAAAGAAGGAAAGCTTATTCTGACAACGGCACCAAAAGACAATGGAAACTGCTCGTGAGCACGCATGTCCCCAGAGAGAGCAGGATGGAAAGAACAGACCTAGGAACGAAGCTCAAGGGTTAAAGCAGTCAGGACTTCACAGGGGCTCAAGAGCAAAGCAACTAGCAGAGTCCAAACCCAGAAAGCACTCAGTAAATGACACTTTTGATCCTGCTATAATGGTTGAAGGACATGGGGCTAAGTAGCTAATTAGAGGGATCAAATTCCAAGAGACAGGAAAACGTGGCAAAAAGGGAGCAGGCAAGGAGAAACCTTGGGAGTAGAGTAACTGGTCCCATAATGGACACACTGAGTTTGGAATGACAAAAGACAGCTGAGCAGAAGTGAAATGCACCACCTGGCAACCATTCTTACAAGGTCCAGTGACTTGTTTTACAAATGGAGGATAAGTGGAACAGTGCACCAGGGAAGGCTCCATGGCCAGTACATCCTTATACCCCTCCCAAACCTTAGCAAAAAGCCCAGCTGCCACAGGTACCCAGTGAAAGCCTGATGGATAAAAGGAATTAAAGGAAAAGACACAGGAACTTGTGTAAAAGTCAGCCAGACGTGGAGGGGGAGGAAAGTGTGAAGCACACAGAAGTTATGGGTGCTATGACTCACACTTCCCTGGCTGGTCAGTGGCTAACACTAGGATTTAAGCCCAGACAGTCTAACTACAGTCTGCTCTTCTAAAGACACGCTGCCCTCCATAACTTTCTGCCTGGCTATGACCTGCTACCCCTCCCAGCACCTCTGCCCCAGCATGTGACTTACGTGCCTGTAGAATCTACTGCCGCTGCCCGAACCCCTCCACGGTGACAAAGAATCTTCGCCAGTGGCTCCTTCATAGCTGGACTCCATAAGGATACAGTACCTGGGTCAGAGGAGAAAAGCTAAGGTTCCTAATGGGGCGATGAGGTGATTATGCTAGAGAAAGAAGAACAGTCAAGGAGATAAGAAAGAAAAGGAGACAAAAGAGCAATTTTAAGAGTCTTGGGAAGTACAAATATAGAAAAAAGCCGATCAGGAGAGTGTTAGCCACTGACTGACCATTGCTGTGTCCAAGATGGATGACGGCATTGTAAGGGTTCTGAGTCATGACGTCAAGCCGTCCAGCCTTTGCATTCAGAGCTGCCACAATCTTCCCCACTGACACGTCCAGGTAGGTCAGAAACCCCGTCTCTGACTAAGAGAGAGAACGAGTCCTGACTGCCCTCTGTCCTCCCTCTTCCCGGGTCCCAGAGGATGAGCAGTCTTCCCTGGAGTTGCTACCCAGACCCTGTGCTCCACAGACACTCACAGCTGTGGCCAGGAGGAAGTGGAAGGGTAGGAACTCAAGTCGGGTGATGCGGTCACAACGGCGGATGCAATGGAGCTCGATGCCCTGGTTGTCATAGATGTAAAGCCAGCGGTTCTGAGCCACTGCGAGCAGTGCCTCTGAATGCAGAAACCTGGAGTGGGGAGCAGGGGGCAGAAGGGTTCAATGGGAAAGGGATTCACGGGCTGTTATTCAGTCAGGGATTGGCCTCTCCCACCCTCACTGACCGGATGTCCCGCACCGCCTCCATGACGTTGATCTCACAGGTAAGCCTCTTGGTCACCCAATCAAAAGCTGCCACATGACCCCGGCGTCCTCCAAGAGCCAGGTGTCTATTGTTGGCGGGGGACAGACAGGATGTCAATGCAGGGGAGCGTCATCAGACCATCTGAGGTCTGCCCATGTCAGCCCCTCCTCTCCAGGTGAGAGGAGAAATACTGTTATGTATGCTCACCCTCACAGGCAAGCAAATCCCAACGACCCTCCCCACGTCAACAGCCCAAACATGCTGAGTGGTATGACTGAGGCAGGCATGGCTGAAGCGATTAAGAGACATGGCCACATTCTGGCTACAGGCTCAGTGGATTTCAACCTTACCTCCCAGTTCTAGAGTAATTCAGGCGGTAGGGTCCAAACTGCCGCAAGTTTAAGTCAAAGTGCTGGGAAAAAGAGAAGTAAAAACAAAAAGAATACCCAGAAGTAATTGGTTTCTTTCAGTAATTCCTTCTTTTACTACCCAGCACCCACTTGCTCTGCTCCTCAGTCAACCCATTCACCCCTTTCCCATTCTCAGGCTCACTTTGGCTGCACTCGCAATGTCCACAGCCTCCACGATGTCAGCCTGCCGAATCTTTGCTGTGTCCTCCCCATCTTCCCCTTCGAGAAACCTGCAAGTGAGTGTTGGAGTTGCAGCAAGGTTCTCTAATATGAAATGAGTGTACCACATACAAATGAGAAAGGAGAGGAGCATAAAGCAGGGGTTGGGGGTGGGGTTAAGGTCCACTTACCCGGGTTCCTCAGCAAGCAGTAGTTCAGAACGAGCAGCTTTGGCACTTACTTCCTCTTCCTCAGCTTCGGCCACCTCAATTCGGCTTCGGGTTTTAGGTTTAGAATGTGGCAGCTATAACATCATGGGTGGAGGAAGAGTGGAAGAAAAACCTGAGGCTATATGGGGTCCCTGATTCCTCCAACTCACCCTTACTGCAACCCCTCCCCACTCTCCGGCTGGTCCTCACCTTTTTGGATTTATCTATGCGACAAAACTTCTGGGCCGCCTCCACAGGGATAGGGGCGGGACCTGGAAATGGGTCCTGGGCCTAGGGCAGGGAGGAGACTATTAGTAGATAGACTCGGGCTGACCCCATCCCTCGCACTCTCAAAACACAAGGCGACCTGCACCGCCACCCCCTCAGGTCCCAGGCTCACCCCAGACAAAGTGCGCTGAGGCTCCGGTTTCCTCCGTTGTCGGTGTTTCTTTGGCACCTGTGGCTTCTTGGAGATTCGGGACTTAGGGACGTGAGAGTTCTTTGGCTTTTGAGGACAAAGCTCTCGACTCCTCTTCTTTTTACGAGGAGGTCCTGAAGAGGTTTCGGCGGCGGATGGGGTGCTCTCTTCTTCCCAGTATCGCCGGGGTTTCTACGGGCACATCAGAAGCCTTGATGCGCCTCTGCCCGCGCCCCGCCCCTTCGACCCCGCAGCTATAAACTTCCCTTCCATCCCAGGGAGGTCTGTACCTTCTTCGCCTTAGGTTTGTTCTTCTTGGGTGGGACACCCTTGCCTGGCTTGGGGGCTGTCTCCATCTAGCCCACCCGAACAACGACCCACGTGCAAATCGCTCTCAGCTGTCCCACAGTACGGCTGCAACCTCCCGGAAGTCCTCTGGTCTTCTCCAATCAGCACGTACCAGGTATGAAGCCGTCTAGGCGCCATTTTGGATAAGGGCATGCGCCCCGTTGAGGGCAGGGGCAAGACTTGGCCTCTCCCTCCCGAGCGTCAGCTGAGAACCAAGTTACGAGAAAAGGCAAGTCCGGGTCAGGGACAAAGAAATGTGCAATTTCTTTATCCAGCTTCGTTTCCAACCTTGCTTAAAACCTTCCGAGTCCAGTCAGTTTTAGCAGAACGCCACTGACTAAACACGTCAGAACTACAATTCCCAGAATGAGTCAGGCGACAACTTCCGGCGCCGTCTTTTCCCAGCATTCTTTGTTTACTTCCGGGTTTTCAATACTGAGAGGAGAACGTGAGTAGGACCCGGTTTCGGTTGTGGGTTTGGGGGGTCTCATTTCGCCCGCCACGCCCTGGAGCCGGAGTAGAGTGGATATTCCGAACCGGTAGAGGCTGCCTTTCAAGCGTACTGTCATTTCCGCAGGCCAGGCCAGGGACGAGACCTCGGGTCCTTTCCAGAGTGAAATCCAGCCGCCCCTCTCCCACTCCCCGCAGACTTTCGTCCCCGCCATGGCTGAACTGATTCAGAAGAAGTTACAGGGAGAAGTGGAGAAATATCAACAGCTACAAAAGGGTAAGGGAGCAGGGTCGGTGTAGCCTCGTCCCAGTCCCTTCACTCACTCACAATCCGAAGCTATACCCAGATGTTGTCTTTCCCACCCGGGTCCCCTCCTCCTCCTTCATTCTTGTCTGTTTCCTCGGTTCCATTTTCTCCTGACTGGGATTGGTGGGGATCGGGTGGCGCTTTTTATACCTTAGCCAAATCTTTCTTCTCATACTCTAGATTTGAGTAAATCCATGTCAGGGCGGCAGAAGCTGGAGGCACAACTAACAGAAAACAATATCGTGAAGGAGGTGAGAGACTGGGATTTGTGGGGCGGGGAGGGACCTGTATTAGCAATGATTCTGAAGATGTATGTCCCACTCCTCCAGGAACTGGCCCTGCTAGATGGGTCCAACGTGGTCTTTAAACTTCTGGGTCCCGTGCTGGTCAAACAGGAGCTGGGGGAGGCTCGGGCCACAGTTGGGAAGAGGCTGGACTATATCACAGCTGAAATGTGAGTCTACTGCCACCCTGTGATGCACCTGACACTCTTAGAGTTGTGGAGAAACCTTTGTAGAGTAGCTCTCTGGAGTAGCCCCCAGTTGTCTGGTTCCTCCAACCCCTCTCATTTAGCCCCCCTCCTCCCTCAATCTCAACTTTTTCACCCAACTCTCTCAGCACCCTCATCAGTAAGCACCTCTGATTCCTCAATTGTCTCTCTCTCTCTTTCCTCTCTTCAGTAAGAGATACGAATCCCAGCTCCGAGACCTTGAGCGGCAATCAGAACAACAGAGGGAGACCCTTGCTCAGCTGCAACAGGAGTTCCAGCGGGCCCAGGCAGCAAAGGCAGGGGCTTCTGGGAAGGCCTGACCCCATGGTAGGGGGGAGGGGAGGGGAGGGAATGAGGCAGCTCTAGGGTCTATACTGTAGCTAATAAAATGTGAAAATACCTGGCTGTTTTCCAACCAGCCACTTCTGTCATAATTGTGTCGTCTTCCCCCCCCCCCTACATCATCCACCTTGTATGCACACCACCTACATTACTCCATCAGGTCCAAATTCTTAAGATGTCTCAAACTTACTTCTTGCCTCAATGCTCCCCTATTTTGGTTGGCACATTGCTTAAGGAAACATCAGCAACAACACAATCTGTGGGGATGTCAGCTGGCTAAAGAACTTCCAGTTCTCAAACTTGAGACCCCACAGTGAAACGTAGTGGTCCTCCCTGCTATGATTATTTGTCATCCTCCGAGAGAGCACCTTGGAATCTTACTTCTTTTTAGCCTCTCCCTAGAATTTGAGTGTAGCAAAACTGATTTAAAATTCCATCACATAATGCTTTGTGAGGTTGTAAGTTCTCCAAAGTTGTACATTGTCCACAAAGTTGTTCTATTTCTTTGTCTTAAAATTGTGCCTTAAAAATTTGCAGTCAGGGGAGTTCTTCATGCCAGTCACTCTAATTGGGTGGCTAGTACTTGACATGGGTCTGTGACAACTGAGGAAAGAAAGAAAGGGGCCAGAGGAGGAGATGTTGCTGGGAAGGTATAAACCTTTCTGAGGAAATCATTTTCCACAATATCTGACTTGGAGCTCTTCTGGGGATAGAAAACATTGGACACAGCCTTGTTCTGTGGCATCTGCCTTGAGCCAACTCCCCACCCCCACTTCTAGTGGCTAATCATACACACTGCAAGAACAGGGAAGTGAAATTCAGGTAGTGTTTTGTTTTATTATCTTAGTGTTGTCACAGTGACAGGGACCTTGTAGGAAAAGAATACTTGAACCCACTTCTTGCCATCCCGTCACCCCAGGGCTCAGAGCCACTAGGCTTTTCCTCTCCTAGGCTTTTCCATGCTCTTTACATGCTAGGATGTGGCCAGGAATCAGAAACTGATTGCTGCTTCCAGCACTAGCCATGTGCTGTGTTCATGGAAATAGGGGAGGTATACACAGGTATCCTACTTGGTTACCAAGATTGCCAGTTCCCACAGGGCTGGATTTCTCGGCTATCTGGCAAGTCAGTGTCACTTCACTGCCCCAGGGTGGCTGCTACTTTGCTGCATTTCTTCTCAGTGCGACATAACTGCCAACATTCGGGATGGCTACCCACATCTGGTAAGGCCACCATGAGTTCTGTAAGCCAGCAGGACTTCCTCCTTAGAACAGTGCCCGGGCAATCTTCCTCCCTGTGGCCTTGATTCTGGGAAAAGAACCCCCTCCTCCCTCACTTGGAGGAGTTCCTGAGGCAGAGGGGCCACTGGGGAGGCCAGGTGGAGCAGTAGAGGACCTTCGCCGCTGCCGCAGGACGAAATCATGGGAGGCCCCATCCATAGCATAGAAGACATTAGCCGAGGGTGGGATAGTCAGCTCTGCAGGTTCAGAGAAGGGGTATCAAGCACAAACACAGTCATTGCCTCACAACCGCCCAGATGTGGAAGCAATCCCACTGCTGGGGACCACTCTACCCCCAAGCCTGCATTCCCTCATAGCCTCTGACCTCGCTCCCCTGGTAGCAGCTGTACCAGCTCATACTCCGAAGCCACTGCAGAATCACGATTGTTTTTCTTAAGGACACGACTGATGACACTTGGAGCCTTGTCCTGGCTTGTCACCTGTCAGGAGAGGAGACGAAAAGAGCAGTGAATCGGCCATGATGATCTCTCCTTCCTATCCTTTCAACCCTGGCTACTGTTATCTACGCACAGGTTATCCATGTGCACCGTTCATTTAGAGTGAACAAGGAGACCCAATATGGTGGTTCCCTGAACTTGACAAGCCATCCTAGTGAAATAGAGCTGCTCTCTGTGGGGAAACTGATTGATTCAACAAATAGAATATGGCCATCCAGGGCCTCCTTGGTGGCGCAAGGGGTTAAACACCGCACTATGAAGTAATCCGCAGCATCTGCAGCATGAGTTCCAACCCGGGCCGGCCAAGGAGCAACCCACATGGGGCAGCAGACCTCTCCTGCCTCGCCCGCTGCTCCCTTTAGCAGTGTATTTCAATCTGTCTGTTCTATTCCCCACTCTGTCTCTCGTAAATCCTCTCGCTGCCCGCACCTCTGGCCTGTCCCCCAGCTCTTGTATGCATAAATAAATAAATCTTTAAAAAAAAAAAAAGAATATGTCCACCCAAAGTTCCAGGTGCAGCAGCAAAATAGCCATCAAATAAAACATAGCTGCTAAAACCCAAGATCCCATTTCAAAGTAGAATCGTCGTCCCGTTTAGCTAGTTAAACCTAAAACTACATCTATATTGTCCCACGAGGCACCACCCTTCACCGCCCCCTCCTAGCCCATGCCTCCCTCACCAGGATGCTCTTGTAGACGCTGCCATCTTCCCCCAGCTCCATCTGGACTCGGATGATTCGGCAATCAGAAGCCCCTGGCCCAGACCCCCCACCCCCGTATCCTGTGCCCTTGGAGGCCCCTTCTGCACCGCCACTGAGTGGGGAGCCACAGGAAGCAGAGCGGCGGTGACCTCGAGAAGGCCTAGGGGAGGAAGCTGGGGGAGAGAGGTGGCTGGAGTCAGCCGGGCTGTGCAGGGGTGGAGTGCTTTCCAGGGCGGAGTCCAGAGATGAGACAGACGGCCACTTCATGTGCTGGGGACAAACAACATGGGGACTGGGGTGAAGGCAGGGAGATCAAGGAAGAAACATACACAAAGTCAGGGTCAGTGTTGAGGTCAGAGGTCAGGAGCAGAGCTCACCTGGGCCAGCCGGGTTAGTAAAGGAGCAGGAGTTCCAGGCACCTCATCTCCCCCTACACTGGGCCGGTCCCAGGACACAAGGGAGGTGGGACCCCCAACAGAGCCCAGAACCCTACAGGGGTGAGATTGGGACAGTCAGAGAAAGAAGGGTAAGCCTCCAAAAGCCTATCCCCCGACTGCTGACTCACTCTGTCCAATGTGAGATGACCACTGCTGGTCGAAGCACCCTTGGGGCAGGAGATTCACTGGTACCAGATGACTCCACCTCATAAGACACACGATGGCTGGGAGAGGGAGAAATGGACAGAGATGAGGACAGGACACACTCCCAGGCCCAGCCTGAGTCCCAACTTCACCCAGCCAGTCACCTCTGAGCCTCTGTTAGTGGCCGGAGTCCCTGAAGCCACCGCTGGATGTCAGGGTCAGGTCGGAGGTCATAGCCGCGACATTCGTTCTGGAGCCGCTGAAGCTCAGAAAGGACAGCAAACTCCTACAAAAGAGCCTCAAACTGTAGGAGTAAAATCTCAGGGACACCTGACTCACCCTTTTCTCCCTTTCCTGGGACATGGCTAGGGGGTGTCTGGCATCACCCATGCATTCCACTCACCTTTCTCCGTTTGTCAAAATTAATGTATCCATTCTGCAAGAACAAAGGGGATGGGAGAGAGATGTACTCTCCCAAGCACCTGCACACCCACATCCAGCTCACATACACTTCCCTCCACCTCTTCCCTCACATCCACCAGGCCCTAATTATTCAACCTTCAAAGTTTTCAAATCAGGTAGAAACTGTGTCCTCGTATTTGTTCAACAAACATCTCAAATATGTTTTAACACTCAGCAAATATTAACTCGCTTAACCCTCATAATAATAAGTTGATGAGTTTCTCCTTTATAGCTCACTAAGGCACAGAGAGGCTTAGCAACTTCCAAAGTAAGAGCACCAGAACCCTACAATCTGGCTCCAGGGTCGCATGCTCAACTACCACAGCCTCTTCACAAAGGGAGGGCTGTCTGACCCTGAGCCATCACATCATGTTTACACACACACACACACACACATACACACACACACACACACACACACTACTGACCTCCAGCTCATCCTTGGAGGCTGCATCCAGCATCACCAGGTCCTTTAAGAAGGTACCAAGGTAGGGCACCACACCCTGAGGTCAGAGGCAAGAGTCAGTTGCCCCTGCCACTGATCCAGGGGTTCTCCACCCCATGCACGTCCCCATCCCATTGCTTCAGAGAACACATTTAATTGTCCACACCCTACTTGCCTCCCCTTTCCATCATTCACACAGCTCCCCCACACACACACTTCTTACTCATTTTAACCACCCCCTCCCCCCAGTCACTCACCCCTCTCCGGGAGCCAGGCCTCGGGGTTTTCTTGGAATTTGTCTCCAGAGAGGGCTGCAGTTTCACATCCTGGTGGTGGCAGAAGAAGGAGATGTGGTGGTGGGAGTGGAAAGCAGATGTAGCTGGGAACGCCAGGGAATAGGGCTCACCTGCAGGAGCAGCTCCCGGCTCTGAGAATAATTATCCTCCTCAGAGAAAATCTGACAGAGGCTGGAGAAGACTCTGAGGCTGTCCCTAGGGGATGGAGGGCAGTAGCCTTGAGGATGGGCTTGGCAGAGGCAATCCCAACCCTCACTCCCAGTCCAGTGCCCAACCTGGCTGCTTCTCCCCAGGCTGCCCGAAGCCTGTGGATGGGGCTGGACTGCAGGGCTGACACGACAGCGTAAACTGAGGAGAAGTTTCGGAGCAGACGACATTCCTGTGGGAGTCACAGAGGGAGGCCACAGCTGTGGGACTCCCCTCTACACCCTGGCCCCCAACAGGGCCCATCGGTTCTCTTACCTCTGCCACTCGAATCCACTTCTCCAGAAGCCGGGCCCTCTGGGGGGGACGGAGTGGCCGTATGGTCACCTCCCCAGGTCCCTCTCCGGTTGGGGTAGCCCCCAGGACAGAGCTGACCACTGCCCCTGCCACCTTGTTGAACTGTGTGATAGTAGCCCGGACAGATGGGCAGAGGTGGGAATGTCCTGGCCGGTCTCTGTGACCCCATAGGCCCCCCAGGCACTGAGAGGGGACCAGATTGAGAAACAGTTCCTGCAGATCAAAGGTCAGAGGTTAAAATTCATCATCAAGTGGGGTCAGCCTTCTAATATCGGGGCTGTGAGGATCTCAGGTGGCCAAGGAACCAGAGGGGCACAGGGTTGGAGGGTAATGCCCAAGGGGAAAGGGGAAAGGTCAAAACTGGGTGGATGGAGGAGGCTGGGAGCTGGATCAAGGGTTGGAAGCAAGGAAAGGATCTGGAGTCAAGGAGAGGTTAGTAAGGGGACAGGGGGCATGGGGTCAGAGGTCAGGGTCTCACCGCATCTAGCAGGGTCAGCTGTTCGGCCAAGTGGTCAGCGAGGAACACCAGGACATCCGTGGGGTCAGCAGGGGGATCGCCGGGGAGGGCCAGGGGCTTAGGAAGGTCGGGGGCCTGGGGGTCCACCCGGGACCGGAGGTTGCGGATGAGGTCAGCGCTGCCCCCCCCAACACCCTCCCCTGCTGCATACCCTGTCCGAAGCAAGAAGCTCTCAAGCCGGTCAAGCTGACCCTTGACCTCAGAGCCAAAATCCTCAGGGTGAGAGGCCAGCCAGGTTGACAGGACAGAGATGGCTACCCTGGGAGAAGGTGAATCAGCCAGGGATCAGATGTCAAGCTAGAGCTCAGGCAGAGGGGAATGTGAGGTAAAGAAGCTGGGGTCACTTACCCTTTGGTTCGCTCAAGTTCATCGGTAGGATAAGATTCAAGGGCTTCCAACCTGGGGAGGGAAAGAGAACCTATCTGTTTATATTTTCCCAAAGTCCAGTGGCTGTGACTATTTTTGCTGGGATACTGATTAGAAAGTCTAGATGCCTCCAGGACCAAGTCCCTTATGACTGACCTGTCAGCCACAAGTCCTAGTAGGGCAGGCGTGGAGGTGAAGGCCCGGTGGGTAGCCAGGAAGGCTGATGTGAAGGTCATGTCAGCCCCTGCAGTCCGAGCATCCAGCAGGTATCTGACCAGGGCGTCCAGTGTGCCAGCACGGAGCCTTCTGGAGGAACGCGGGGGAGGCGTTGGGGCCTGAGGGAGACAGAGGGCCAGTCACTAATCCTTTCTTCAATCCTGCTTCTGGATCTCTGGGGCCAATTCTAGACCTAGATCATCCAGGCTTACACTACTTAGAAGAGAGTAAAAGACAGCCTAAGTCACATAGCACAATCAGGTGTCTGGACTTCTAACCTAGCACTCTGGCCAGAAAATCGGCCACAGGACAAAGAGCTGGAGGTGATGGGTCAGAGGTAAGAAGCCAAAGTTATGATCTCACCAAGGGATTAAGAGGTCGATACTGGCGGCTGGTGACAGTAAATGTGGCACCATCCTCCTCCTCATCCCAGGCAGTCACAGGGGCCTGGAGGAGCAAGGAAGGGGTGTCAGACAGCCCCACAGCACCCCCACTGTCCCCAGCCCTCACCCCAGGTTCTACTCCTCCCTCTGTGCCCCTCACCTGTGATGGCAGGGGACAGTACCAGCGAGTGCGAGGGGCGGGGCGGGCTGGTGACCCCAGGTCTCCCACACTGGGGCCCAGACAGCCCCCCCCAAGCCGCCTCAGGGCCCGGTGGAGTCGAGGGGCTTGAAGTGGGGGGGCTGGTGGAAGGCAGGAACCCTGATCCTGGAGGCCACCGTAGCCCCTTCCCCCCAGAGCTGAGTCCCAACACAGAGAAGCAAGGTGTAAAGGACAGGAGGGGAGGCCAGAGGCCGAAAGTCAAGAGGCAGAGACCTTGAGAAGCTGAAACCTCAGTCATAGGCACAGCCCCATGCTCCGCCCTTCCCCGCGGGAACTGGCCAAGCCCGAAGAATTAGTACTTCCCCTTAGCCCCCAGCCCCCAGCCCCCTGCGAGGTGGCGGCTCCGATCCCAGGACAGGAAAGAGAAGGGGAAGTGGGGATGATGGGGGGGGGGGTTGTAGACTCAGTGTCACGTGGCCCCAGCCCCTCCTCCCAACGGATCCCGAAAAACCAGCCCTGCCAGTCACCCTGCCCTCACCCAGCCTTGGGACCCAGGAGTCCAGGGCCTCGGGGCCCCAAATCCAACTTCTGGCCCCTCCCATGTCCCCAAATCCTGCTCCTGGCCACCACCATTAGTCCCTGAGGAGAGCAGGTGACCACCTCCACTCAGCCTGGGAACTCGCTCCAAGTTCCGCGAACCTTGGCTTTCCGCCTCCACACAGGGCCAGGAGGGAGAAGGGGGAGGGGTCACGAAATCGAAGGGTTCCCTCCCCAATCCCAGAGTCAGAGGAGCCGGTTACTGTGGAAACAAACCCCTCCCCGCCAAACAAAAACAAGGAGGGACAGGGACCAAGACACAAGGCCCAGAGCGACGGGCGCGTGGGGCGGAGGCGCTGGGGGCCGAGGACCCGCTGGACAGCCCCTCCAGGCGGCAACAGGGCAGGTTCCTACGGGCAGGCCCCAAATCACTCAGTCACAAAGATCCGGAGAAACGCCGGGCCTCCCCGCGGCGGGGAGCTGGCAGACGCCCAGAGAGAGGAAATAACCGAGGCAGGGAAGGGAGGCCGGGACACCGACTCGAGAGAAAAGAGTCTCCCAAGTTCGCGCGGCCCCTGCCTCCCCCCGCCTGCGTCTCACCTCGTCTTCTTCCTCCTCCTCCTCGTCCTCCTGCCCCCCGCCCGCGCCCAGGCCACCTGGGCCCCCACCCTCTTCGGGGTCTCGGCTCCGGAAGCTGCTCAACACGACTCCCCCGGGGGGGCTCGTGTCCCAAAGCAGCCGCAGGGGCCGCGGGAGCATGGCCGGATGAAGGAATCAGCGGGGTCGGCCCATGGGGGCGCCTGGGGAGAGACCGGAGGGGGAACGGGTGGAGAGTCAGGTGGGCGCGGGATCCGGGCGGGGAGGACGCGTGTGGGTGTCTAGGAAACCGGACGGCAATCCAGCAGGGAGGCTGAGGGCGGGGGGCAACGCCAGGGCGGAATATGGGGGCCCCGGTGCACTTGGGGGATGAAGGGGTCACGGGAACGGGCAGGATCACGGGGCTCTGACCTGCTTGGGAGGGGTGGGGGGCAGCGCGGGTCCCCGGGCCGCTGTTCTCGTCGGTCTCCGGCCCGCGACCGAGTACCCTCCCCGGCTTTTCCGCACCCCCGTTAAGCCCCCCCCGCCAGGCTCCCGGGCCTCCCGCCCTTTCCGCTCCCCCCACGTCCGCCCGCTCCGAGAGCAGGAGCCAAAAGGGGAAGGAAGTGAGGACAGGAGCCAGGGCCGCGGACTAGGGGAGCGCTGGGCGCCGGGGGCCGCGAGCCAGGAGTCCCGGCCCCGGCTCCGCGGTCCTCACGCCCCCCCCGCCCCGACTCGGGGACCCGCGGCCCACGTCGCCCCTCCCTGAACTTGGATAAGATTCTACGCCCCAGCCCCCGGGGGCGGGCAGGGGCAGAACGACACCCGCCACTCCACGCACGGCGGGAGCCGCCGGGGAGGCGCTTTAGGCCGGGCGGGCGCAGCCCTCCACCCCGCGGGGCTGCGCGCCCCACCCCCACCCACGCGCGGAGCGGCCCGAGTCCACTCCGGGTTTTCGGGAGCGCCCTGGGCTCCCGCCTCGGGAGGGCGGAGCAGGAAGCCGCCGCATCCGGTTCCAGATTCGCGCTCCGGAGTTTCCGGCGCGGGCCGGGATCTGCGCTCCCCGCTGGGCCCTGGCCCGCTGCCCGGGGTGTGGGGCGCGCGGTAGTGGCGCCCACCGCGAGCTTGCAGGGGCGGCTGCGTGTGGCCCAGATGTCGGGGTAACTGGACGGGACCAGAAGTGATTGGGAGACGGGTTTTTCTTGGAAAGGGAGACCCCGGCGTGGCCTGCGCCAGCCCTTGGAAACAGCTTTATTCCCACCCGGTTAGACGCGCCGCCGTCGGCCTGGCCGCGGGCCTGTGCTCGGAGGCCCCCAAGCCGAGCCGCAGCTCCTTCCAGCAGTAGTTACAAGACCGAACCCCGGTTTTTGAATGCTGTGGGCGGGAAAAAACTACTTTCTTGTATCGAGCGCCCTCCAGTGGCCGTCAGGCTCTGCAGGCGCGGGGGATACTGCAGTGGACGGGCCCGGCCTCGAGGAGCCCGCAGTCGGGCGGGGGGCGGGAGGGGGACAGGCATTTACCAAGGACTCGCACGATCACTTAACACAACCGCAAAGAACCGCACTGTGGGACACATGGCGGTCTGTAGGGAGTGCTGAGGCTGACCTGGACTGGAGCCGGGGGAGGACGAGGGTCAAGCTGGCAGAGGGAACGGATCACTGGCACCCAGGGCTGGCAGGAGGCGGTTAGTCCATTGTAGGAGAGGAGGGCTGGAGGGCACAGGTGGGCAGAAGTGTACGCCGTGGCTGAGCATGGGATGCATAGGCCAATGGCAAGAAGAATGGGTTTGGCCTCTAGGGCACCAGTTCTCCAAGTGTGCTCCCTGTCCCAGAGGTTCCTGTGACTACTGTACCAGGTTAAGACTTTTTACAGTAATGCTAAGATGTTACCTGCTTTTTTCTCTCTCGTTCTCTAAGAATATAGTGTTTTCCAGAAGGTACAAGATGTGAACTGGCATTATTGCCCTCAAGGTTAATGGAATATGTACTTATATAGGTTCATGTTTGTTTTGTTTTTTTTTTTTAGTAAGTTTCCAACTTTGTCTTTTTTAAAGATTTATTTTATTTATACAAGAGCTGGGGGTACAGTCCAGATGCGCGGGAGGGTGAGAGGACTCACCAGAGACAGAGCCGGGAACGGAACAGGCAGGCCAATCAAACACACTGCTGAGGGGAGCAGAGGGCAAGACAGGAGAGGTCTGCTCACCATGTGGGTTGCTCCGAGGCCGGTGGGGATCAAACCGGTGCTGCAGAGGCTGTGGACAGCTGCACAGCGCTGCGATCAACTGCCTGTGCCACCAGGGAAGCCCAATGTTTTTGTTTTTTTTTTTTAATTTATTTCTGTGTACAAGAACTGGGGTACAGGCCTGAGATGGGGGTGGGGGTGTGAGAGGATTCACCAGAGACAAAGTGGGGAGCAGAATAGGCAGACTGACTGAAACACACTGCTGAGGGGAGCAGCAGGAGAGAAAGGAGAGGTCCGCTGAGCCATATGGGTAGCTCCCTGGTAACTCCTGCTGCAGTGGCTGTGTCTCTTTCACAGTGCTGTGCTTAACCCCTTGACCACCAGGGTGGCCCTAGTTTCATGTTTCAAATTTTTCTAAGTGCTAGAACAAGTAGTTACAACCCTCCTAAGAAATGCTCTTTAAGAGTCCTTGATAATTTTTAAGAGATCCTGAGACCAAAAATTTTGAGAACCACTGCCCTGAAGCTCTAAGAAGATGAATGCCATAGATTTTTATCTAAAAAAAAAATATGCCAACAACAATAAAAAAGTATTCCAGTCACTTGTGGAGAGACTGGAGAGGGCAGGAACAGATGATGGTTGATGAGGGTGCTACCACAGTAGCTGAGGCCAGAAATAACGGTGGTTTCCCCAGGATGGTGGTGAATGCCCTCACTGTGTTTTCTGGAAGAGAAGTAAGAGGAAGTGAGGAATTGGGGGCTTTAGAAAGTGGGGTAAACTACTCCTGATCAAGCTAGAGGTAAATGAACCAACATGGGCACAGGATGGGAGAACCACAGGGCTAACTATTGTTTTCTTCCTGGCAGACATTGCCAGTGTCACTGCATCTGTCTCTTCCAGTCCTCCCAACAAAACTCTGAGGTTCACCTTCAAATACAGTAACCACCACCCACAGGTATCTGTATTAGAATGTGGCTTACACCAAGATGTGCTGACAGATTAAACTTCTGTATTTGAAGATTTAGGATCGGGTTGGTGGGAGGGGATTGTTTTTTCTTCTATTTATTACATGTTGAAATAATATGTTTAATATCTTGGATGAAATAAATTATTAAAATCCACCTTTCCTTTTTAATGTTGCTACTAGATCCTTTAAATGTACATATATGGTTTGCATTATAGTCCTGTGGGACATTGATACCTAAGTAATTTTTTTTAGTCTCCACACCCAAGGAAAATAAGTAGCATGCTCAGGGCAGCAGGATCTAACAGGTCTGTGAATTCCAAGCCTGGGCCCCACCCATCACACCTGCAGCCTCCCTCCAAGGGTGAATAGTTGGGGGGACAGAACCAAATGAGAAGGGAAAAATAAGGGAGGGGCAAGCGTTGTTACCTTCTCCTCCTTTGAATCCTTGGGTGTATTCAGGTAGGCAGCTGTGGAGAGAGATTGAGAAAGGATGGGGGAGAGGCGTGATGGGAGGGCAGCAGGATGGATGTCAGGCCTCTGGGAGTGGGCAGGGGATATCCCACAGTGGAGGGTCCTGGTTGGGTGGGGCCCACACTCACCAACCCAGCTCAGTGCCTTGAAGAGCCCGAGGAGCAAAAAGGCAGACAGGAAGAGGCCAACTCCGTCCTCTAGGGAGGGCCCAGAGAGACCTAGCGGCAGAGGAGACTGGAATAAGTTCCCTGTCTTCCCAGGTGCTTGACTCCAGATTTTGGATGCTTTGGCTCTTACCTGCTACCTCCAGGGTGACCTCTGCTTTGCGCCCCAAAGCGGGCAGGCTTGGGTGGTAGACACGGCAGGCATAGCGTGCCCCGTGCTGCTCAGCGGTGACTGGGGGTGGCTGGAAGTGCCCCGAGAGGCTGATGGAGCCGTCAGAGTGGTGGCGAACCGCGGAGAGCCACTTTCGCCCCTCAGCCTTTTGATAGCCACCTGCTGGGCCACCGTGGAGCTCCCATTCCACCTTGAGGCCCTTGGAGGGGTAAAAATGGGACACAAGGCAGAGCAACTCTGGGGGGGCCTCCCCAGCGGCAGCCCATACAAGAGGTGCTGGTGTCAGAGATACTTTGGGTGGCTCTGGAAAGAGAGTAGGAAAGGGGCATGGTAGTAATCAGTCCACACTGTCCTCCCTCAGAGACCCTCAGTTTGCCCTCTGGATTCCCCAAAATTGAGGGGGGCTTGGGTTCTTTTCTCTAGGAGTAGGGAATCTACTATCTCTCCATTGGCACTTCATAGGAATTCCTATGTCCAAGCCTCCTATCTCAGGGACCCCTATTCCCTGAGATTTGGGGAACCTTCATCCCAGAGCCCCACAGATTCCCAGGAACTTTCTAGCCATTGCCCTTGTGACTCTGAGAGACCTTAATCTGTCTCCCTCCACTCTTCTCCACCATCCCTACCCACTACTATTTTGGTGTCCCCATAATCCCAATGCCCACCCCCTACCTGTGGGAACACCTGTCCCATCACTCACTCTGCACAGCAAGCTCCAGGGTGACCTGCCCTTGCAGGTATGGCAGGTGGACAGTGGCCAGATAGGAGCCCTCCTGAGAGGGCCGCACTGCAGGTAGCCAGAGGCTCCCATTTCCAGTCCATGGACCCCATGGCTCATTATCATCCCAAGCTGCAAATGCCACTGCTCCCTCTTGGGCAGCTGGCATCTGTCCATCCAGCCCAGGAGTGGCAGCCAGGAGCAGGTACCCTTTACCCAGGTGCTGACGTCGCCACTCCAGCCCAAAGGGAGGGGGGCCTGGGGCCGGAGCTGTAGCAGCCTGGGAAGTGGGGGGCGTGTAGGCAAAACTCAAGTCCAGCAGTGTATCTCGTCCCAGTCGGATTTGAGGGGAGGGTGTGTTGGTGAAGACAGACAGCACAGCTGTGGAAGAGGGAGAGAGGGGAGTGGGAAGGACATGAGAGAAAGAAGGGGGGAAAAAACACAAGGAAAAAAAAAATGGAGTTACACAGGTAGGGCAAAACTAAGTACTACCTGTCAGAGGATGCCCTTTTCTGATACCATCTCCCAGTCCTCCCTGCATTGCCCCACCCCCTGGATTGGTGTTCTGTATTGGTAGGACCCAGAGTGGTTGAATGAACAGAGACTAGAGGTGAACAGGGGCAGTGACTGGGTATAGCTCTTGAAGGCTGCTCTGGACTCAGCCCACGGGAGCTGTGGGGGCAGCGAGATCTCCTGACACAGCCTGAGCCAGCCTTGGAGAGCCAGCCAGACCTTTCTTGGTTGCTATGAAGATCTTGGTGACTCATGATTTCAATCCCGTGGTGATGTCCAGAGTGTTTACTGACTCTGGAGGGTTCTGGCTCTGTCTAGACCTCTCTGCTCTATGTGGCAGTGTTCAGAGGGGAAGTGCCTGGAGCCTGGCTGTCCTGGTTAACCCTAACTTTAGCTATTTATATGGCTATAGTTATCTCACTTTTCCATGGCTAGGTTCCTAATCTCTAAAATAGGAACGATAATGCGAAGAGTACCTATCTCATGGGGTTGTTATGGGGGAGCCATATGTTACGGAGCCGCTCTGCCTCCTCTAAGTCATTCACTCTACAAGCATGTGTTGAGCACCTAGGATGTTCAGCGTGTTGTGGTAGAAGACAAAGTAGTGAAGAAGAGGTAACCCCTGCCCTCCAATTGCTTCCAGTTTAATAAGGAAGACAGACAAGCACGTTGCCAAGTATAATGTATAATACTCTTTCCTCACCACTTCCTACTTCTATCTCCCAAACATATCTCAAGTTCTGTTTCCAATGAAAGTTCTCATCGATGTACATTTGGATAATTGCAACGGCCTCCTCTCAGGTCTCCCTATCCTCAGTGTCTCTGCTTTGATTTATCCTCCAAATTATAGCCAAGCAGTGTGGCTACAAGTCTGATCCAGTCATTCACCTGTTTAAAATTCCCAACAACTTAGAAAGCCAGTCACTAAAGGCACAGGCTGGGGCTAGATGGCCTTGGTTCAATTCCTAGCCCCTTTCTTACAAGCTTTTTGTCCTTGAGCAAGTTACCTAGCTGCTTTGTGTCACAGATTTCTTCATCTGTGACATGCGAATAATATCAACACCAATTTCTTACGGTTGTTGAGAGGAATAAATGACAATATGCATGCGAAGTGCTTTGAACAGGACCTGGCATGTAGAAAATGCCTGATAAATGTTAGCTGCTACTATTTTCTAGCTCTTGGACTATCATCATTATTATCATCATGAACTTGCTGGGAAAGTCCATGGGAAAATCATTTAATGTATATTTTCCTTATTTATCAATGATCTGACCTTGCTACCTTTTGTAAGAATCAAAATAACATAGTTTGGGGGAAAATTGCACACATGTACACAGACACATTCAACTTCTGATGGCTCACTATCATCTGTAAGCCTGCCTTTCCGGGCACTTGGTAATCCAGCCTCCAGCCTCCATCTACCTTCCCAGGCTTCCTTCACACCCTATGAAGCAGTCACATTAAATGCCTTTCTGTGACTAGTGGAAATGCTAATCATTTTATAAGTCTTTGCTTTGGATATGTTTCCTTAGGTTTACAACATCCCTTCCCAAATATCTAAATATCCCATGTCTCTCAAGGTCAGTTCCATGGCTACTTCCTCCCAGAAATGTCAGGGTCCTCCAAGTAATCTTTTTTCTCTAGTGAGTATGCAATTTTTAAGCCTAGTGTCTAAGTTTACAAGATTAAATTTCTCTTGGCTTTATGGGACTGCTTTAGTTCAACAGAGTTTTAAAAAGTAGGGAATTTCACCTAGTTTATAAAAATCCAGACACATACTTTTGAATTGTTAAGAACAATCCATAGGATTAATAAAACCTAGAGTTCTTACAGTTTAACCTTTAAACTAATAGTGTGCTTTAGTAGGGGTTTTAGAAACAATTTGAGGCCTGCATGCCACAAACTCTACTCTGTAAAAATGGTCTGAACAGCAAGAAAAATTCTGTTTTTGCAGCTTGCATTATATAGATTTTTGTTTTCTCATTAAAAACAAGCATATAGGGCCTCCCTGGTGGCACAAGGGGTTAAGCACTATGAAGCAATTCGCAGCCTCTGCAGCACGAGTTCGATCCCAGACTGGCCAGGGAGCAACCCACATGGCGCAGCAGACCTCTTCTGTCTCGCCCACTACACTGCCCTCAGCAGTGTATTTCAGTCAATCTGCCTGCTGCCTGTTCTGTTCCCCACTCTGTCTCTCTCTGGTGATTCCTCACACACACACACACACACCCCTCACCCTATATCTCTGGCCTGTACCCCGTTTCTTGTATGCATAAATAAATCAATCTTTTAAAAAAACAACAACAATCATATAAAGCATTATTTAAATTATATAAACCCAGGGCCTCCCTGGTAATACAGGGGTTAATAAAGACACAGCACTATCAAGCTATTGCCAGCCCCTGCAACATAAGTTCCATCCCCTGCCAGGAAGATAAACCTCATAGCACAGCAGACCTCTCCTGTCTCGCCTGCTGTTCCCCTCAGCAGTGTATTTCAGTAGATCTGCCTGTTCTGCTCCCCACTCTATCTGGTGAATCCGCTCATCCTCCCGTACCTCTGGCCTGCGCCCCAATTCTTGTATGCACAAATAAATCTAAAAAAAGTATTTAAACCGAAATCTACTCAAGCTTCTAGATCTAACTACCGATATGCAGGAAGTGTGGAAGAAAGATGAAGAGGGGAAATGACACCATGAGGAAACAATTGGCCAAATAGAAAATGTAGGGAAATTTTACAGGACAAATGGGGCAGGCAATGATAGAATAAAAAAGACTCAAGACAAAACAACTGATAGGTGCTGAATATTTGTGTCCCCCTTATTCCCAAATTCATATCTAAAGCTTTAACCCCCAATCCTCTCCCCGCCCGCAAGCGAGTGTTACTATGTTTGGATATAAAGGGTGTGAGGAGGTGGTAAAGATTAAATGAGATCATAAACGTATGTTCCCTGTCTGTTAGAACTGCTCTGAAGACATGGCCTGTAAGGGGGCCTGTAACACAAAAGGGAGAGTTTTCACCAGACATTGACCCTGCTAGCACCTTAAACTTGATCTGCTAGGCTCCACAGTTATGAGAAAATAATTCCTGTCATTTAAGCCACCCAGTCACCCAGTCTAGGCTATTATGCTATAGCAGCCTGCACAGATAACAACAATCAAATATAATACCACAGACTTGTTTTTGGCTCCTGATTCAAGCAAATCAACTGTAAAATTGTATCCTTGTACAACAGGAAAATTTTAATACAGGCTAGAAATGAAATAAATAGTACAGAATTTTTTTGTTAAGTATGATAATGGTTTCTGGCTTTTGTTACCACCTTGTTTAATAGAGATGCCTACTGAAGTACTTATGAGTAAAGTAATATGATGCCTGGCATATATGAAACACTTAAAAAAAAAAAAGGAAAGAAGGTGGGGGAAGATAGTGAAACATTTTGGTAAAGTGTACAAAAAAAAAAAAAAAAAACACCAACAAACAAAACTGTGCTCTTGGGTGATGGGTATATGGCAGCTAAATATACTTTTCTAATTTTGTGTCTTTGAAATTTTGTATAACAACATTTTAAAAGGTTTGTTTTTGTTCTTTTTTTTTTTTTGTATAAAAGAACTGGGGTATAGGCCAGAGGTGTAGGGTGTGAGAGGAGTTACCAGAGACAGAGTGGGAAACAGAACAGGCAGATTGACTGAAATACACTGCTGAGGGGAATAGTGGGCAGAGACAAGAGCGGTTTGCTGCTGCCATGTGGATTAACTCCTTGACCAGGATCAAACTTAGGCCTTGATGGAGATGGCACTGAGACTTAACTTGTAGGCCACCATGGAGGCTTCCATTTTAAAAGATTCATGAGAGTTAGGGCCTCCCTGGTGGCGCAGGGATTAAAGTCTCAGACCTATCAAGCTATCCCTAGCCACTGCTGCATGAGTTCAATTCCCGGGCAGGGAGCTAACCCATGTGGTGCAGCAGACCTCTCCTGTCTCGCCCACTGCTCCCCTCAGCAGAGTATTTCAGTCAATCCACCTGTTCTGCTCCCCACTCTGTCTCTAGTGAATCCTCTCACCCAATGCACTAGCATGCAGTTGGCATTATTGTAAACAAACAAGGGCAAAATTCTTGCCAAGAGAATATTCCATTGAGCATATTAAGCACGCTAAGAGTGGAGATAGCTCCCTGAAAAGTATGAAAGAAAATGATCAGAAAAAAATGAAGGAAGCCAAAGAGAAAGGTACTTGAGTTCAGCTGCAACACCTGCCTGCTCTACCCAGAGAAGCACATTTTGTGAGAACCCATGGAAATGTGCTGATTTGCTGGACCCCATTCCCTATGAATTCGCAGCATGATAGGTCTGGACTAGTTTAAAAAAAATAGTGTATAAATACATATTAGCAAAATCATCAATGATCTGTAATCCAGGTATATATTCCATTAAAAAAAATTTTAAAGATTTATTTATGCATACAAGAACTGGGGTACAGGCCAGAGATGTGGGGGTGAGGGGATCCACCAGAGACAGAGCGGGGAACAGAACAGGCAGACCGAATGAAACAGATTGCTGAGGGGAGCAGCAGGCGAGACAGGAGAGGTCTGCTGGGCCATGTGGGCCACTCCCCAGCCAGCGGGGGATCAATCTCAAGCTGCAGAGCTTGTGGACCGCCCCGTGGTGCTGTGCTCAACCCCCTGTGCCACCAGGGAGGCCCCCATTTTAAAATTTTACATTAAAACAAATTTGATTTTCTTAAGTCCCTAACAAATAGAAATGCTTGAAAAGGAAGACTGAGCACAGGAAGTTTTTACCCCTGGTGGTCTATGAAATGCAGATAATCTTCCCTGTAGGCCATTCCATGGATCCCTAACTGGGCTGCCTTCCTACCCCGGCTGCTCTCTAGGCTGCCTTACAGTATCTATGACAATTCAACTGAGAACCTTCTACAGAGCAGAATCTGCATTTAATAACATTGTGACCCTTAAAGAGCAGGAGGAGGACACCCAAGAGATTCTGATTTTATTTATTTATTTATTTATTTATTTTAGAGATTCTGATTTTAATTCGCCTGTAAGGGGACCCAGGTTTCAGTATATTTAGAAACTTCCAAGAGGAGTTATTTGTAGCCTGGACTGAGAACTGGGCCCTAATTTATTCTTGGTGCTAAGAAATATTTATTGCATCAGTGAATAAATTAACAAAGTGCCTCCCTTGATAGTCACAACTATCAAGACACAACAGAGACAGATGGGAAATAGCATCCACATTCCACACTTAGAAAAACGGGCTCAGAAGGGACTTTCTCACCACCAGGTGGGGAAGCCAGGAGCTCTGGGGAGTACTCCTACCGCTGGAGGGAGCGACAGCCCCCACCAGGAGCAAATTGCCTCTGCCCCGCCCAGGGTCGGGCCTCCAAACCAAGACCGGAGGTGCAGGCAGGGGTGGGGGTTGGGTGTGGCTGCTGGGTCCGTCTCCCTGGTCCTGTGGGTGATTCTCGGCGAGGAGGAGGGTGGCGGGGAAGCAAGGGTGCAAGGGCTCTGTTGGGGTTGCCCTACCGGCCAGGCCGTGTTACTTACATAAAATCACACAGGAGAGAGGGAAGGCGAGGGCTCTACCCGTATCCCACCCAGCCGCCGCTGCCCCTAGGTGTCCCCATTCCTGCTCTGTCTCCCATTCCCTCCCGGCGCCCCAGCCCAACTCTGTGCCCGGCGCCTGGGCCTCAAACGGGCCACGCAGCCCCAGCCGTGGGAAGCTCGGGTCTCTCGCTGCGACCTTCCCTCTACTCGAGCCCACTAAGTGCCGCAAAGAGATGGCGCCACCTCGCGCCAAAGGGAAAGGGCTGAAGAAAAGTTCCCGCCTCTGACGCCTCCCACGCTCGTCTCCCGACAAGTTTTTCCAGGTCGGGCGCCGGGAAACCCCGCCTCTCTCCAAACCCCGCCCCAAACCTCCGGATTTATTTTACTCGGCGGGGGCTGGAAGAAGCCAGAGGCGGTTTAATTAGCCGAACTGCCTCGCTTTACAAATAAGGAAACTGGGCTCCAGTCCACACCGCGATCGCGACCCTCACGACCTCCCCCCTCTCCCCGCTCCCCGGCCAGCTACCTGTCGCCACGGTGAAGAGAACGGGCTCCGGCTGAGGCTCGGGCTGCAACAGCAGGAGGCTGGAGAGGCTGACGACCGGGCTGGACACGCTGACCATGTACCAAGTGCCGTCCAGGGCTCTGGGGCAGCTCTCCTCGGGGGTCAGGCCGCCGGCCCACTCCGCCGAGGCGGGGAGCAGGACGTAGCGGCTCATCTCGCAGTGCGGCGCCGGGGCGTCCCGGGGGAAGCGCTTGAAGGCGGCCTGGAGGGTGCTGGGGGGATCTGTCAAGTGCGGGGAAGGGGAGCCGCAGCTGTAAAGTCACCGCGCGCAAAGGGGCGGGAGGGCAGCGCCAGGGAATTGCAAAGGCACAGACTGCCCGGTAGCGAGAGGTTCGACGTGTGATCCAGATTCGTCTTACAGAGCGAGACACTGAGGCCACAGGTCACTGAGTGCCCTAAGGAAGACGGGGTTTCGGCGGAGGAGCCCAAGATGGAGGAGAGACCGGAAAGACTCACCGAGCACCTTGAGGTAGAGCTTGGGGTCGAGGTCGGGCCGAGGAGGTAGTGGCCCCGGGCCCTGGTGCACCATCAGGGCCGCGGGCTTCTTGGCCAGGCGGCCGCCCCCCGCATCCTCCACGAACCAGCACTCGATGACCGCGCGCCCCGCTACGACCACGGTCTGCAGGCCTGGGGAGAGGGGCGCGAGGGAGCGGGAGGCCCCAACTCAGGAGAACTCACCCGACCCCGCCGCGCGTGTCGCGTGCGCGGAGGGAAACCTCCCTCTGCTTCCCCCCCAGTTCCTGAGCGTTAAGTCGCGGGGTCCGCTCACCCAAAGCCACTATGAGGAGCAGGGATAGGGGCTTCATCGCGCCGCGATCTTCTCAGTCTTCAAGCCTCCTCTTCCCCTTTCACTTTCTCTTTCGCCCAAAGGCCAGCAGGAGGAGCCGAGGAAATCCCCGCTTCGATTAGCGGAGAGCTTCTGGGAGGCAGGTGCTTCCCTACCGGCCGGGCAGGTTGGTATCCGGGGCCATCCTCTCCAGTTCGGGTGTGGCACCTCAGCTCTGCCCTCCTGGAGCACCCAACACCACCCCCCTGAATCCCAGAGACCTCCCAACCCTATGCTCCCCCAACCACCCACTCCCCCACGAACATTACTTCGCCTTCCCCCACCTGTGCCGTGTTCCCAGCAAACACAGAGGGGCTGTAAAGAAGCCAAGTGAAATGACCAATAAATATTTTAATCACCGTTTAAAAAAAATAAAATTTAAAATAAAAACTTTGTACTCCTACGACTTACTCCTTCTCTCCAACCCCTCCTCAGTGAGAACTGAGTTTTGTTTTTTTTGGGGGGGGGGGCGCCAAAGGAGGGATGGAGGAAGGATAGGGTAGAAATAAAGGGCACATCTTTGGGGGGAGGGGCAGGGTAGATTCTAGGACAAGGGTGTGAGACTGAAAGGCCTGGTCTCCACAACAATACAACACAGACTTCAGGTACAGACTACAACCACCTGACCCTTGACCCTGTGGCTCCAGGATGCTCAACAAGCCCCCCTCTCCCCCTCCCACCCCCGATATGTGCCCTACTCTGGAGCTAGGGCTTCAGTGTTCCCATCTGAGGGGAAGGAAAGACTGAGTTCTGGGGATACTCTAAGGGGCTGAGGAGTGGAATGGGGCGGCCAATGGTGCAACGTGGTTCCCCCTCCAGAATATATACAAGTCCATAGAGAAAAGGAAGACAGTAACTGTAGTGGGGGGTCATCTGGGGATCACAGCCCCCTGGCTCTTACTCCCTGATCCCTCTTCCCTGAAAGCTACCACCCGTCAATTTGCTCCTCCACCCCCACTGAATCCCATCTCCACCTTGGGGACACTGGGTGGGGACCAGACCCTTCGGCTGGAAGGTGTGGTGACTCCACTGGCTTCATCGCTGCTTCCACCGCCCACCCCAGGGGACTCTCTCTTGGGAGGTAAGGCTGGCCCAGCAGGGCCCCCAGGTCCCGGTGCAGCCCCAGCCCCGCCCCCACCTAGCCTGTGTCGGCGCTCACAATGTCCCCTGTGGCGCATGAAGCTGTCTCGCCACATGAACTTCTTGGCGCAGACACTGCATTCGTAGGGCTTGAGGCCTGTGTGCGTCTTCATGTGCTCAGTCAGGTGGTGCTTCATCTTGAACTTTTTGTTGCACACGGGGCAGTCAAAGGGCCGCAGGTTGAGGTGCATGTTCACATGCCTGTCACGCATGCTCTTGTGGGAGAAGGCCTTCCCGCAGTGGCACAGGAAGATCTTATTCCCATCCCCACTGCCTGTCCCTCCAGGGGTCCCACCAGGGCCACTGGGCACACCCAGACCTCCTGCGGATGTGCTCCCCATGGTCACCGCCCCGTGTTCAGTTTGGATCCCTGGTGGCTGGCCTGGAGCCTGTGAGGAGGAGGATGAAGATGATGGGAAGACTAGGATCTGGTTGCCCTGCATGTCCAGTGGAAGCAGGGGCCGGGGAGGGTGGGAGGGGGCATAGGAGGAAGGAGTTGGCCCCCCTGAATCATCAAGCCCTGCCCCAGGACCTCCACCCTCATAGGGGCCAAAGTCATTAGAAGACTCACAGAAATTGACCTGTTCCTCTCCCTTCTCTGGAGGTTCAGTCAGGGTCCGGACATCGCTTATGCTAAGGGTAGCCTCAGGTCCACCCCCTGCTGGAACCCTGGACCCACCCCCTAGCTCTTCATCTTCATCATCCTCACAGGTCAACACCAGGTCTTCCTCCTCCTCATCCTCTTCCAGATCTGGGTCTTGTGGAACCAGGGGTGTCGGCGCTGGACAGTTTCCACCCCTTTTCACATATACCCAGTGTTTCTGGGGCATGATGCTAGGGGGTGCATAGGTGGGTCGCCGGAGCCCAGCCCCAGGGACCACAGCACCTCTCCCATCTCCCCCATCATCACATAGCTCATCCGCCTCCAGCAGCAGCTTTCCAGAAGTAGCCCCCCCACTGCCAACCACAGGGGCTGGGAATACAGGGCCACCTCCACGACGCTCCACACTACCCACTGTAGAAGCTGTAAATGCTTCCTGGGAGGAAGATGAGAAATCAGCAGACTCCCGGGGACTGAAGTAGTTGCTGCTGCTAGGGGACTGATTCTCACTGGCCCGACTGGAGGCATGGGAGCGCACCGAGCCCACTGTGGCAGAGGCCACAGTGCCCCCACTCCCTGAAGGCACCCCAGCACCAGGGACAGTGACCGAGGTAGCCGCAGCAGTGGTGATGGTGGTGGTAGTAGCTGAGGCCCGGCCTTCACGGAGGAGTTCAGTACATTTGTCCACGATGTGCCACATTTGCAGCACAGACCCCACAGTGAGGAAGTTGACAATGTCAGCAGCGGCCATGCTGAGGCGGCCAGTGTAAGCTGAAGCCAGAACAGTCTCGAAGGCCCCTGGGTCCATGACGCTGGGCAGCGAGATGGAGGTCATGCCCTTGAGTAGGACCTGGTCGTGGAAGTAAGGGGAGGAGGCAGCCAGAACAGCACGGTGAGCCCTGAATTCCCGGCCCTGTACTCGGATGGACACGTCACAGAGCTGGCCCTGCAGCCGCTGCTGATTGAGGGACTCCAAGAGGGCGCTGGTTACCTCAGGGAAGGACACATGTACCACTGCAGCTGCAGGCAGGGGCAGTGGGGGTGGGGCCAGTGATAGAGGCAGGGGGAGTGCTGCCCCGCTGGGAGACAGAGGAGATGGCTCCATGGTGTGGAGGGAGGGGATAACCCCCCCCAGCCACAGGAACAAAGAAAAGAGGAGGGCGGCCGGGGGGGTCTCTGGGGGAAAAAAAGAGAGAAGAATGAAAACATCTCATAAATATACAGCCCTTTACAGTTTAAAAACACGTTCACACCTATTATCTGAGTAACTTCACACCACCACTGTGAAACTGAGAGTCCTCCTGACCCCATTTGACAGATGAACTGAGCCTCAGAAAAATTAAGAGATGATACAAGGTCACACAGCCAGTAAGTGGCTGCACCACCTAACGCAGTTGTCCTGACTCCAAATCCAATGTTCTTTCTTTGGAAGTTAGAGAAACAAGAAGTTCCTGGGGAGTGGGGTGTCTTTTTGGTGTTCCGCACCCTTTTCTTGGAAGGGGGGTACGTCTGCCCTCGTACTGAAAACCATCCTCCCATTTCCTTATAAGCTATACACCCCGGTTCCTTCGCCGGCCACGCCCCCTTCACCCCACGCGCACACTGGCCCCGCCCCTTTCAAGACCCGCCCCGCACCCTCGGCCCCGCCCCCCTTCAGGGCCCGCCCCCGTGGCCCCTTCGGCCCCGCCTCTTGTCTACCCCCGCCCACACCGACCCCGCCCCCTCTGCTCCGCCCCAGGCGCTACTTCGACCTCCTCTCCCACCCGGAAGGCGCCCCGCAACCCCGCGCGTCCCCGCTTACCGGGCCGCGCGCCCCCGGGCCCCCCCGCCCCTCACTCGGCCGCCAGAGCCGCAGCCTGGGCCCCTCCCGCCGCCATCTTGCGCCGACTCCCTCCGCCCTCCGCCTCCGCTCCGCCTCCCGCCCCTCCGGCTTTAAAGGTACAGGCGGGCACCCCGCCCGTGCTGCTGGGCAATACTCGGCCGACTCGCCCACTTCTCCTTTAAAGAGAACTGGCGCTTCATTCCACCTTAAAGATACCACATCCCTTTTGTAGCTGAGCACTGAGGACTAGGTTTGGCCGAAACACTTATTCCCCTTTAATTCTGTAAGCCTGCCTCTTCCCATAGGTGACGGGTTTCGGCCGTCGCTACCGAGACTCCGCCCCCAAGCTTTGGCCATTAGCGCTTTTGCGGCATCGAATCGCCCAGGTCTCTCCCAGTTTATGACAGTCCTCCTGAAGCCCCGCCCCCTCCTCCCGGCCTGGATTGGCCAAATAACCTTGAGTCAGTCCTGATTGGCCTTTTTACTCCTACTGCTCCAAGCGAGAAAGAGAGGAGCTTTCAGAAGACTGAAGCTCAAATTTGTTTTTAATGTCAGGCAGAGGGTGAAAGGGAAGGCCTGCGAGTGAGGAACCTCCAAGAGAGGCGTGCCAAGGGTGGGCTAGAAAGGACAGACCCAGAGGTACTGGGGGCTGACCTAACTGAGTAGAGAACAGTGGGTGCCAAGTGGTGAGAGCATGAGAGGGAGAACAAGGAAAGACAGGCATACAATAGGAAAAGAACTTTATTGTTTATTAATGTTTTTGTGTAAAACTTCAACTCTTGCTGTTTTTGTTTTTAAGAAACACCACCAAAGGGGGATTAGCTCAGTCCAGTCCTTCCTCAGTCATCTGCTTTCCACCATCCTCCAATACAATACCAGAACATTTTGGGAAGCAGGGATTGGGGGAGGCAGCTAATCAGAGTCTGAGAGCACGATGATCTCCTCTGGATCACACTGTGTGGCCACACTTGTCTGTAGGGGATAGAGAGACAAATAGGTCTGAAATACAGGGGGAAGAGGCAAGGATTTATCACCGATGAAAAAATGGAGGGGGGCCTCCCCTGGTGGTGCAGGAGGTTGAGCGCCGCGCTGTGAAGCTGTGAAGCTACCCGCAGCCTCTGCAGCGCCGGTTCGATCCTGGCCGGCTGGGGAGGGTCCCACATGATGAAGCAGACCTCTCCTGTGGTGCCCGCTGCTCCCCTCAGCAGTGTATTTCGTCGGTCTGCCTGTTCTGTTCCCCGCTCTGTCTCTGGTGAATCCTCTCACCCTCCCGCGCATCTGGCCTGTACCCCAGTTCTTGTATAAATAAATAAATATTCAGACAGAGGGTCTGAAACTGAATAGACGATGAAAGAATGAAGTGAGGAAAAACAGTACCCTCCCTGCCCCTTACCTTGTAAGTACCAGGCCGGGAGGGTTGTGGTTGGGGAATTTGGGACAGCCCAGCTGGAGATGGGCTACAGAGGGAGCTGGTCACCAGGACATGACTAGGAGAATCCACCCTTGTGGAGGAATCGGCAACTGGGGTCATGGAAGCTGAAGGAGAAGGAGGGCTGGGCAGGGTACATATCTTCTTCCCATTCTTCTCAAGCACTGGCCTTTCCCTCTCCACATAGCTAGGGACAGAAATATAAATGTGTGGAGGGATATGGTGAGCTTAAGGTTGGAGGGGGAGTTTCCAGTCTCTCCCAATACTCCTCTCAGAAAGCCTGCTGCCATCCCACCTGGACTTCCCTCTTCCTCCCCTTGTTACCTGTTTCCTAATGGTCCTGTTTCTGTTTGCTTCTTTTCCTTCCGAGATTTCTTGCAGGGGGGACTGGAGTTTCCCCAGGAGTGAGGAGAGACACCTCCATTGAAGGAAGTAGAAGAGACCATGGCTGCTCCATTCTCCAAGACAGTGGTGAGGGTGTCCTCTGATTGCTTCCTGGAAGTGGAAATGTCCCTCTCCTCAGGGGAAGGGGTGGCATCCAGGGGCAAGGCTTCAATTTCCAGCTCAAAGAGCTGGGACATAGGGCTCTCTTCTGTCAGGCGCAGCTCCTCAAGGTGTTCTCCATTGCTTTCAGCATCTATGGTAGAGGGGACCAAGGGTTCTTCTGACAATGAAGAAGGTGACATTATGAGTCCTTTGTTTTGCTGCTCTTCCGAAGACCTGCTGATCCCCTTGCTAGGTTCCAGGTTCTCAGTAGAAATCTGTGGTGGGGACACAGGGCTCTTATCTCCAACCTTATCTGGAAAAGAAGAAAATGGGGGATGGGCAGCATGAGAACTAGGGGGAAGAATACTGCTGAGAGGACACTACAAGTAAGAGGAGGAGGGGAAGGGTCTCAAACAGGTGGCTCATGCCCAACGGAGTAGAGGGAACTGACACGAGACATACCTGCTTTCACCTCCTCCTCTTCATCATCCCCCTGACCTTCCTGGATCTGTTCCAGATCCTCCTCTTCCTCAGAATCTGTGGCCTCTTCCTCTTCCTCCTCCTCCTCACTTTCCTCATCTTCATCATCTCTCTCAGTCTTGGAGGTGACAGCACACTCCTGGGATACCATTCCACTAGGGCCCTGGGGTTACAAAGGGGGCTCTCTAAGGAATCCCTCACCCCAGAGGGTCTGGTTCTTGCATTCCTTCTGCACACTCCCCCATCAGTTACTCTGGACTCTCTGGTGGCTAGTGCAGGGGAAGGATAAGGTCTCTCTGAAGGACATATGGCCTCCATACCTCACCAGAATCCAAGGGCGCTCTGGGAGAGTCTGCAGAGTGAGAAGAGCTGGCTTGGGGGTGCCGGGCTCTTCTCCTCTGTCTCTCACCCTCTTCACTGTTGTCTTGCATCATTGCATATTTGGAGATGACCTCATCCAGCCGGCTCATAGCCAAGCTCCGGTTTTCCCGCAGGCGCCGGGCTAGGGCAGGATCTGACAGTGCAGGGTCAATGCCTAGATGGGAAGATACAAAGTCAGAGCACTCAGCCCAAATCCCAAGAAAAGGGACTAGGGACACTCCCCTCCACCACACACCTGACATATGAGGGTTATGTCCCTCATATGTCCCATTAATCCCTACCTGGCCTATAGTCATCTGTGAGGTGACAGCCAAAGTTGTAGATGAGATCGAGGTGGCGTCGCTCCTGTAACCTGATGCCCACATCGCGAAAGGCATCCTGAGCCATGAGCTGGAGCTGCTGTCGGGGGAGGCCAAGGCTATGCCGTGTAGCTGCTTTCTCTACCGCCCTCAGCACATCTCCATAGTCAGGGAAGGTATCAGGCCCTGGCTTATTGATGAGCCGCTCAATGCGCCTGTTAACCTCTGGGTAGCGAGTGCCACGGTAGGGGATACGCTGCTCTATGACTCTGCCCGTTAGTGAAGAGCACTCTTTCAGCTCACACAGCCGCCCAAAGAGGCGGATCAGTTTCCGCTTCAACTTGGCCTCCTGCAGGTATGTGGAGTTTGGGTCATCTAATTCTGAGAGGTCCAGCTCCTTTTCCTGCAGCCGCCGGATCTCTGCCACATAGAGGGCCAGCAGCTGCTCCAAGCGCTGGATCTGCCGCCGGGAACCACGGGTCCTTGAGGCTTCAGAGGCAGTGGTCTCAGCATTTGTGGGGTCCGAAGAGGGGTCTGTGCGAGGGTCATTCCCAGAGGGCTCACTAGAGGTGGTAGCAGCTGGTGCCAGGTTCAGCTTTTTCTTGACCGAGTGGGCCTTAAGTACAGTGCAAAGCTCATTAACGTAGACATAGAATTTAGCTGGCCGACTCTGGGCCCGGGATAGGACTCGAGAGAGAATGTTGTAGAACTCCGCTGAGGCCAAAAACTGAGGGTGGGCACGCTGCTGCCGGGTACAGAGGAATGTGACCACCTCAGGGTGGTCTGCCGTCTGTGTCTTACACAGTTCAAGGAACTGGAGGGTTCAGCAGAAGAAGGGAAGGAGAAAGAGACAAGGGAAGGGGTTGAGAGAAAGAAGGCAAGGTGGGGTTAGTGGGGAAGAAAGGACAGGAGAGCCTGTCAGCCATCCCCCTCCCTGGAGCATCAAGAGTCTTCTCCCCTAAAGCTCACCTCTTCAAACAGCTTTTCATTCTCCAACTTGTAGCATTTCTTGCCGCCAGAACTACTGCTTCCTCCAGCCACAGGGGGCTGGGAGGAACCAGGGGCTTCTGCCAGGGGTGAGGCTGGATTGGGGGGTGGGTGGGAGGGCCCTGGCTGAGCAGCAGCTTCATCTTCATCATCCAGCACGATGATGCTGTTAGCGGTGGCCATGGGGGATCAAATCCCCCAGAGGGAGGAAGTGTTGGGGATTTCAGAATTCCTGCTGGAAGGGGGTGGGGCCTCAGAAAACGCCCCTCCAGCATAGCCCCATCCCTTCAGCTCGTTTTCAACCTCCTTAGGTTTCAGTAATACCCAGTCCTACCCAACAGTGTCCCCACTGCTTATCACCATCAACCATTAGTACCATAAGTTTTTTGAGCCCTTTACTACAGTGCCTCAAAAGTCGTATGTCCCCACCCCCAGCTCCACCCCTCTCACGTCAATATCCTGTCTTTCGGGTAGTTGGCAAGTTGATTCTTCCTTCCAACACCTGGACCACTTCCCACGTTGCATTCCAGAATTCTTTGACATCCCGTCACGGATACATCTCCGTTGGCACCACCTCCCTTGTTTTCCCCGCTTCGCTTTCAAACGTCAAATCTACACCCTTACCCATTCTGAAGGATCACCCCAACTCCTAGACTCTCTGAGGCAAAAGAAGGTTCCCTCTCAACAATCCATTTCCTTTTCTCCTCAACTATCTCCATATTCCACCTTCTGATGGTTCTTCTCAAGCAGGTGCTTTAGACTGGAGACATTTCATCTCAAGTCCCCTGCCGCACACCCCACCCTAATTTTCCCCATTCTCTTTCGGTGACCTGTACTGATTGTGAGCCCCGCACTGGGCTCTTCCGATTTCTCTCAGATCCCAACCTTAGATCCCAATCCTTCCTAGTGGATCTAGTGATCACCTTCCCGCCAAGTCCCCCTCCCCCAGTTTAGCACCCGGCCACCCCACTTCCCTTCAAGGATAGGAAGGCACCACAGCTTGCCCCTCAGATTCAGCACCCGGGACTCCCTACTACCTTTCCCTTGACATTCCCGCCCCCCCCCCTCGTTCCCTCCACCATCCGGCCCCCACCTCAGAAACGGTCTCTCGAGGCGACCCTCACCGCAGATCTCAGAACCTCGCATGGTTCCCTCCGCCTTCCTTTCCCCTCCCACCGCGGGTCCCACTCTGGGCCGGAAGTCACAGAGCTTCCGCCAACAGATACCTAGGCGCGGCCATATTGTCGCACGGCACCCAGTCCCTTCCCCATGGCCGGAAGTGATGGCAGACCCGCCCCCCGAGCTTCTCCAGCGCGGTCTACGTAGTCTGCGGATCCTTTCCGCTGACCTGCAGGGGGCGGGGTGGTCCCTGCTGGGGCTCCGAATGGCGGGCGCCATTTTGCCGTACGGCTTTGACTGGGTTCGGGAGCTCTTTTCTCCCGGTGCTTCTGCGACTCAGCCAATCAGAAACTTCCTATATCTGGCCCAACCGTCAGCCCGTCACGTGCCGGAGGACTGCGCCACCTTTTCTAGGCGGCGAGGGGGAAGCGGAACCGCGCACCTAAGGAGTCGCGCCCTGCTAGCCTGCCCCGGGGTTCACCGAAGGGCGGAAGTCTCTGAAGAGAGAAAGAAAAGCCTTTCCTTCCGCTGGGCTACCGTCAAGTCTTCCGGCGCTGCTGTCCTACCTGCCAGGTACTCGTTTCCGCGGCTTCTGCGAATGCGCCGGCCCTTCCCGTCCCAGGCCGCGCCGCCGCCGCGGAGCCGTTGTCCGCCAGCTGCCGGGCGCGGGGGGCCTCCCGCTCCCTGTCATGGAGTCACGACACACGCATACAAATGAGCACACGGCGCTAGGCAAATTGTGCTGTTGTAATAATTGCGCTTGTTCTCGATCTGTTTTTCAAGCTCCACCACAGAACTACTGACCAAGCAGAGGGGTGGGGCCTCGGTGGGTGTCCGCCCTTCTCTGGGGCGAGCCCCGCGCGCCGGCGGTGCTGGGCCGGGGCCCCGCTGTGCCCGGGAGCGTCAGGGCCGACGGCGGGCGATGGGGGCGGGGGCTTTGAGGAGAATCTTGTTCAAGTTGCCGCTGTGAGGGCTGAGATGAAATGAGGCTCGTCAGAGAGCTCGGGTCTCGTCGTCGCCTCTTCCCCTGGGAGAGCTGAGGAAAGAAGGAAGAGAGAAGAAGCCGACGGTGACGCCGCCTCTCTCGCACTCCCACCTTGTCCAGCTTTAGGGAGGCTGGGGGGCTGTGGAGGCGAGGCTGTTTCCAAGATGAGCTTTCCAAAGAGGAAACAGGAAAAGTTAACACAGTTCCAATCCCCGAGATTCCCACCTGCTGTATCCTTGCACATTCTACCAGTGGACAGCATCCTGACGCTTTCTAGAACCACTGAGGCCCGTACATCCCCATCCCTCAGTGTCCCAGAACCTCCAGCCCTTCCACTCATTAAAAAATTCCACACCATTTCTCTCCACTCGTCTAAGCCTACAGTCTTCAAATGGGGAACATGGAGACTTTCCAAAGGATACTCAGACTTGGGAAACATAAGGGATTTAATCTCCAGATGATCAACGTTCTCCAAATTGGCCTACTTGAGTAAATGCCCGCAATAGAGGTCCCCCCTCTTCCTTTTTCCTCTTGAGGTAGAATTTCTCACTCATTTAAAAATAAAAAAAAAATAAAAAAAAAACATTGTTCTCAAACATTATCTCTCCTAGGGATAATCTTATCTTTTCCTTGAATGAGGAGACAAGGTACCATAAACCTCCTCGTCTATCTCATTAAAAATGTACCTTTATTTTCAACAATTGTAAAAAATGTGTACATTTCATAATATTTGATTAGTTCTGGTCTCATAATAATTATAATGATAACCCAGGGGGAAAATTTTAAGCTAGAGTCTTATGGTTACAAGAAAGGAAACTATCTTTCACCTCAATGTACATGTATATGCAGGAAAGTATGATAGATTGGTCAAAAAGAATCTTTTAAAATAGTCAGTGGGGAAATGAGTTGGTAATAGGAGTTCAGGGAAAAAAGAGAATGATGAAAGAAGGAAAAGAAAGAGGGCCTCCCCTGGTGGCACAGCAATTGAGTGCTGGGCTGCGAAGTTGCCTGCAGCCTCTGCAGCCACCGGCTCCATCCCTGGCTGCCAGTGGGTCCCACATGGTGGGTCCCACATGGCGCACAGACCTCTCCTGCCCCACCCGCTTCTCCCCTCAGCAGTGTATTTCTAGTCAGCCTGCCTGTTCTGTTCCCCGCTCTGGCTCTGGTGAATTCTCTCACCCTCCTGCACTTCTGACTGTACCCAGTGCTTGTATAAATAAATAAATCTTAAAAAAAAAGAAAAAGATCCTCAAATGTGAACAGCTTACTTATCTATTTTTAAATTGATGGTAGTAATATTTCGGTAGCCCTGGACAGTCAAAAGGTGATTTAATTATTTTTATTTTATTTTATTTATACAATAGCTGGGGTATAGGCCAGAGGCGCAGAAGGTGAGAGGATTCATCAGAGACAGAGTGGGGAGCAGAACAGGCAGACGGACTGAAAGCTCTGCTGAGGGGAGCAGCGGGTGCAACAGATGAGGTCTGCCATGCCATGTGGGTATCTCCCTGGCCGGCCGGGAATTGAACCTGTGCTGCAGAGGCTGCAGACAGCTTCACAGTGCTGCGCTCAACCCACTGCACCACTGGGAGGCCAGGTTTGTTTGTTTTATACAGATTTATTTATTTATGCATACAAGAACTGGGCTGTAGGGCCTCCCTGGTAGCACAAGGGGTTAAGACACAACCTGTGAAGCTATCCACAGTCACTGTGATACCGGAATTGTCAGGTCTAGTCTCCCAGCCAGGAACGGATCCCAGGCTGCAGGGCAGCTCTGAGTCCCAGCCACTAGACCCCCCCCAGGGTTGGTGTCTCACGAAGCCGCAGCAGGAACTTCGCAGACGCTCAGGCAAGCAAGCGAGAAGAGGCAGGTTCGTTTATAGAAAGAAAAAGTTTATTGAGGAGAAAAAGAACAGAAATAAAGTGGGACTCCCAGGCCAGGGAACCAGGCCTGGGAGGGGCAAGGAAGCCAAAGTGGAGTCGTGTCTTAGGGAATATATACCTTTTTTCCCTCATTATTCTAAAGCTGCCCCAGTCTCTTTGTGATTGGTTAGTTCTCGGCTGTCTCACTTAATTTGCTACTGAGTAGGGGGATCTTCACGTTCCTTATCTAACAGCTTTCTCTTTCCCCATTTGTTGTATCTTTAAATTTATGGCCCAGTCCTCTGGATGGGCATCCCTGCATTGAAGTTAAACAGCTGCCCTTCTAATGTGTCCATAAATTAAACCACTCTCCATTTCTCCAATCTCCACCTCCCTTTACCACCTGAAGGAAACCAGGACCAGCATTAACAATGTTGTCCTTGGTCCTGGCATGTTTGTTTTTCCTAATGGAATGGGTTACTTTCCCTTGCTTGTCCTTATCTCTGAAGCCTCCCCAAATTCTTCAGAGGTCCCCTCCTGCACTATCCCTAAAACTGCCTAATAACCCTAGCTTGCCCTGTCTCAACTGCAATATGAGTTTGATACCCAGCCAGAGAGCTACCCACGTGGCGCAGCAGACTTCACCCGACCTCAACCCGTTGTGCCACCGGGGAGGCCCCTAATTATTTTACTTTAAATATCAATGTGTTCACTATGCCAGAATTACATCCTTGAAATAATTTTAATTTATGAAGATTATTAGATGTTTATGTAAGGAGTACAAGCTTTTAAAAAATTATTTACCAGGCACAGAAATTTTAAGACAACTGGGTCCCTGCATAGTGTCCCCAACCCTCCCATTTCCCTCCTGTCTCTCCTCTCACCTCCGAGGCAGGGAAATGGGATGTTTATAGGAGAGGTGGTGACAATTCCAGCTCCTTCTCCTTCTGAGGTGTTCCTAAGAGCCAGTCCCCAAATTTTGCCCATGGAAGCAGCCACAGCAGCCTGCATCCAGCTTCCAGCATCGTAGTGTCAAGATGAGGACCAGCAAGGTAAAGAAAGCCTTGTCCAAGGTCTGATGCAGGGGACCCCTGGGAGGAGAGGGACTCCAGGCAAATGCCAAGAACACATCCTCCTCATCCACATTGCCCTCTTTCACTGGCACTCTTACTTAGTCTGACAGCTGGCTGGATCAAGGAGACTGGAATGGAAGCCTTTGCTCAGCAATGCCAGGATTAAGGGGCATGGGAGCATCATCTTCTGTCTGACTTGACCCTAATTCCCCCATCCAGGAGGAAAAATAAAAAGTAGAGTAAAGCCTAAACAAAAAAGTAAAGCAAAACAAGACAATAAATGTGAAATTACATGTTGGGCAGTTTTTCTCTATGACAGGGTAGCCCATAAGGACCCAGAATATGTGTCTACAGAGACATGAACATAAACTACCAAAATCTGGGATGTGAGTTACCTCTATCTGCCATGACTCATTGGAACAGAGGCCTCTAGGATTTACACAGGAATGAAATGGGGGAGTCACTAAGGGAGAGCAAGACGGACACTGTCAGACAGTGAACTTGGTTTGTGACTTAGTCAATGCAAATTTTTTTCGAAGCCCTTTGGCCTTCACATGGGTGAGCTGATGCCAGTGTTAAGCTTCGGCAAGTACAGGAGCTACCAAATGATTTGTCTGGGCGTTACCATGTGCTAATGGGTCAGGCAGGTGAAAATGAGGTCTAATGTGAGTAATGTAATGTAAATTTAGGTAGTGTGGGCCTCCCCCGTGGTGCAGTGGTTGAGTGCTGGGCTGTGAAACTGCCTGCAACCTTTGCAGCGCAGATTCAATCCCCAGCTGCCGGCGAGGGTTCCACATGGCACGCAAACCCCTCCTGCCGCCCGCTGCTCCCCTCAGCAGTGTACTTTGTCAGTCTACCTTTTCTGCTCTCCACTCTGGCTCTGGTGAATTCACTCACCCTCCCGCGCTTCTGACTGTACTCAGTGCTTGTATAAATAAATAATTCTTAAAAAAAAAAAAAAGAGGGCCTCCCCGGTGGCACAGCGGTTGAGCGCTGGGTTGCGAAGCTCCACAGCCTCTGCAGCTCCGGTTCGATCCCTGGCTGCTCCCCGGCCACTGGAGGAGGGTCCCACATGGTGCGCAGACATCTCCTGCCGCCCGCTGCTCCCCTCAGCAGTGTACTTCGGTCCTTCTGCCTGCTCTGCTCCCTGCTCTGGCTCTGGTGAATTCTCTCACCCTCCCACACTTCTGACTGTACCTAGTGCTTGTATAAATAAATAAATAAATCTTCAAAAAAAAAAAAAAAGAAAGAAAGAAAGAAACAATGTTTTAAAAATAAATAAATTTATGTAGTGTGACAAAGCAGTAACATCTGGATGTCCAACAATAAGGAGTTAATAGGAGGCTCTTGTGCAGAAACGTGTAAAGTTTTTAGAACAGGAAGAGTGTGACTAACATACTGAGAATCAGTAACAATAATAAGGGCTTGAGATTTGTCAGTTAAGAGCATACAGTTGGCATACAATTTTACCTGTTGAGCGATAAGGAGAATGGACTGCTGCCATCTGTAAAATATGTGACTGTATCTAGCAGAGGAATGACAGAAATTTTTTTGGTAAAATTCACGAAGTGGATTTAAGGAAGTTAAACAATTTGGAAGAAAGGTAGTGACAATCCAAGATCCCCAGATAATTACAGAGACCTATCTGTCATTTAAGATTTTCACTGAGGGCACTATCAATCTGTTTTCTTGATAAGGACAAAACAATGTGATCAGGGTCTCAACAGAGTTTGAAGGCATCTATGCCCTCTTAACATCACCTCTCTAATTTTGTCAAAAGTTAATAATTGCTTAGTTTGTGTGTTGGGCAAAAAAAATCCATTTAATCCATCCTTTACCTTGGCTTAGCAGTCCTGTAGGAAAATGTTTTGTGGGGAAGATTAAGAGACCCACAGTAGAATCAAGAAGAATACACTGTAACTGAGCTTTATGAATATACTCCTCTATCCATTCAAGCTCCTTTTCTGCCTCAGGGGTGAGAGAAGGAGGACTATGTAAGGCCGGATCTCCTTTAAGGGTGTCAAATAGGGCCTCTCTGGTGGCGCAGGTGGTTGAGCGCCGTGCTGCAGCACTGTGAAACTTTTCATAGCCTCTGCAGTGTGGGTTCGATCCCGGCGGGCCCGTGAGAATCCCACATGGTGCAGCAGACCTCTCCTGTCTCGCCTGCTGCTCCCTTCAGCAGTGTATTTTGTCAGTCTGCCTGTTCTATTCCCCGCTCTGTCTCTGGTGAATCCTCTCACCCTCCCGTGCATCTGGCCTGTACCCCAGCTATTGTATAAATAAAATAAATCTTTAAAAAAGTGTGTCAAATGAATGGCTTAACGCATATGTATTAATGCCCAGTGAAGGGTGAAACCAATTAATATCCCCAAGCAATTTTTGAAAGTCATTTAACGTTTTTAATTTATCTCTTCTATTTTAAAGTTTTTGTGGGATAATCGTATTGTACATAATTTTTGTACCTAAATAGAGATGGGGGGCCGATCCTGAATCTTATCTGATGCAATTTGCAAGCCTGCAAAGGACAAATACGGTTGAACCTCTTGGAAAACTGTATCCAGCTCTTGACTAGTGGCAGTAGCCATGACGATGTCATCCATATAATGAATGATAGAGGCTTTAGGGAAATTAACTCAGAGGGCATAGAGCCCCCCCCCCACCGCAAACATTTGACAGATTGTTGGACTATTTAGCATTTTTTGGGATAGTACCTTTTACTGGTATCTTTCATAAGGAGATATATTAATATAAGTTGGGATGGAAAATGCACATTTTTTATGGTCTTTTAGAACCAATGGAATTGTGAAAAAACAGTCTTTGAGATCAGTTATCCTCAAATGCCAACCTTAGGGATCGTGGTGGATGAAGGGAGCCCTGGCTGTAAAGCGCCCGTTGGTTGAATGACCACATTTAATGAATGACCACAGTCAGTATTCTCCATTTTTTAAATTTCTTTTTTATTCCCAAAACAGGTGAGTTCCACTGACTTACTAAGGGTTCTATACGTCCCAAAGTAAGCTGTTTTAAAACCAATTGTTTTAACTCGTCCAGCTTTTCTATGGATAGGAGCCACTGTCCTACCCAAATAGGTTTTTCCATCAGCCTCTTAAGTGGAATGGGACACAGACGCACTGCAGCAGCCCCTATGATAAATTTAGAAACCCTGAACCCCAGCGACCTTCATTAGGTTCAATTTGTAAAGGTCGTGAATTTCCTTGTTCATTTTTTCCTAGTCCTTTTAAGGGATTATAGTCCATGTCCAATATAATTTGCTTGGACTGGGGAAAACCGAGGGAATGTGTACGAACACTCCCCATTTGTTTAAGTCTCTGCCCCACAAGTTAAAAGCAATGTCAGGGGGCCTCCCCTGGTGGCGCAGCGGCTGCCCGCAGCCTCTGCAGCGCAGGTTCAACCCCTGGCCGCTGGCGAGGGTCCCGCATATGGGCGGCAGACCTCTCCTGCCATGCCCGCTTCTCCCCTCAGTAGTGTATTTCATCACTCTGCCTATTCTGTTCCCTGCTCTGGCTCTGGTGAATTCTCTCACCCTCCCCCGCTTCTGACTGTACCCAGTACTTGTATAAATAAATAAATAAATAAATAAATCTTTAAAAAAAAAATAAAAGCAATGTCAAAGACCAGAGGTGGAAAGGAGCCCAGCTGACCTTAAGGACACTGATACTTGCGTATGTGAGAGCTTTGTAGCACAGCGGCAAGAGACCCCATTCCAGAAACCAGCGTGTCCATTTTTTGGAGAGGACAGGAGACAGGCCAGAATTTTTTTGAGATCACATAAATATCCGTCCCTGTATCTATAAGCCCTTTAAATTTCTTTCCTTGTGTGAGAAGATCACTCTCTGGGCATTGAAGCTGAAGGACTGCATTGTACCAGATTTGAGTATTTGTACTACCAAACCCCCCAGTGTTTTTTTTTTTTTTTAAGATTTATTTATACAGGCACTGGGTACAGTCAGAAGTGCGGGTGGGTGAGGGAATTCACCAGAGTCAGAGCGGGGAACAGAACAGGCAGACTGATGAAATACACTGCTGAGGGGAACAGGGGGTGCAGCAGGAAAGGTCAGGTCTGTCACACCATGTGGGACCCTCGCCCAGCGGCTGGGGATTGAACCGGCGCTGCAGAGGCTGCAGGCAGCTTCGCAGCCCAGCATTCAACTGCTAGTGCCACCAGGGGAGGCCCCCCCGCCCCTAGTCCTTTTGTGTTGTGAAGAATTGACTTTAATATAAGGTAGGAACAGCAGCTGTGCAGTTCTATCTCCTGCACTCAACTGAGATGGGTAAGTACTAGAAGCCATAATTTGAATATGCCCATCATACTCTTTATCTGTTATCCCAATATGAACTTTTATGCCTTTTAGGGTTGTAACTACCACAGCCAATAACTAATCTTACTGTTCCTGGGGGTATGGCCCATAGACACCTGTGGGGAGTTTAACCACTCCTTCTGCAGGGGTGAGCAGCAGATGATCAGAAATACTTAAGTTGAAGGCTGCACTTCCTGCCATGGCAGGGACAAGGTTTGTGAACAATTTGGACCTAAATGTTGACGAGTCTGGATTGAATATTGTTGGATGTGATGCCTTGTATTGTGATTGTTGGGCCCACATTTCCAGAGTAGATTCAAGAAACTGACCTTGCTTAGTAAATTTGGAATGACAGTCATGGGCCCAGTGTTTTCCTTTCTGTCAACAGGGGCATATTCCAGGGGCTTTTGTTTCCATAAAGTTCTTATGATACCCTCTTGAGTTTCTGCGATATCTGCAGTCCCACTTTAAATGACCTGGTTTCCACAATTAAAACAATTGCCCTTAATTTGATTCATATTCAAATTTTTGACGGCAGCTGCAAGAAGATTAGCATTGTATGAATGAGATCCAATATCCTGGTATGTTTTCTTTTTTTTTTAAAGATTTATTTATACAAGCACTGGGTACAGTCAGAAGCGCAGAAAGGTGAAAGAATTCACCAGAGCCAGAGTAGAACAGGCAGACTGGCGAAATACACTGCGGAGGGGAACAGCAGGTGCTGCAGGAGAGGTCTGCGCACCATGTGGGACCCTCGC